TCTTTCTAAGCCACATTACAGTATTATAATGATTAATCCACAACTTCACAGTTTAATACCATGTAACAATGGCAACATGTCATCTCACCTCAACCCCAGTTTTTCCCATTCCCAGTGAGTCAAGCTACCGCTACACTGAATTTTGACCTAATGTTAATTTTTGCATGTTCTTGTGGGCACCGCCAGGTATCTGAACCATCATTGGTCCCAAGGAGTTTGGATAAAAGGAATTACACTGTATGGGGGATGAGCATGGTGGGAGTAGGGGGATGAGCAGCAGTATAAAGGGAGATTTGAGTCATTCTCTTTTGAGACTTCCGCACTTCATGGATATTATTCCTTATACGTAATCTCCATAAGTGCGGGGACTTTGTACGTATGGCTCGGCAATAATCTGGCCTCATAAATTCGACGACATGGATATCGATGACTCGAATAACGAGGACCCCTTTGTACAAATATTGTATGGAAAATGGCTGTAAAGTAACATTAATGCTGCCCAATCTACAAATACTAATTTCAAGTCATCTTCACACTACAGTACTCACAAATTGGAGTTGACATACACGTACACCAAGCACCGAGTCGTCCTTCCATAAGTCGTCTCTTGTACTGTACTGCCCTCGACTGGAGCAAAAACAGCTCTATTCATTGAAAAGCCTGCCAAACTAATGATGCCAGGCATAAACTCATTCAAATTACAAGTTTCTATTTTACAGACTATAAATTAATAATATTAATCTATCACCACCATTTATACTAATGAATCAAGAATTACAAACAATACTGTGTATATAAAAAAATCAATGCCTTATCCTGACAATGAATACATTCAACAATGAAGTGGTACAGAAGCTCACTATCTGTGCATAAGAACACTTACAAGGCTAATGGTAGCAAATTCTCTTATGATTTTTATAAATCAAAGATTGTTGGTGAAAATAATTTCCACAAGAAACATTACAAAATATTATACAGCTATACAGTAATATAAAAGTTTGCATCAGTTTTATTATGTTTATTTTCCATATTTTTTTTTAAAGTCCATGAAAAAATGTTAAGAGATCAATAATTTTTGCTGACACCATACTGTTGGATACAGTATATTATTTGCCTCTTGCTCTTACAGTTGCTGGTTTGATCCCATGGCACCCCAAGTACACTCAACTGTAAATGGATACTCAGCTATACAGTACAGGGAGAAGTGAGTGGTAAAGTGCAGTATTACATATACAGGTAGTCCCCGACTTACGACTGACTCAACTTACATCCATCCGCACTTACGACCTGCTCTGACCTTACGACCGTCGGGACATACCGCCGCAGTCGTGACCAAAAATTTTTTCAAATGACGCGCGCATTTTCTATACCGAAACGTTTCCGTCCTGAGCGAGAGCGTGGCGTGACTTGGGTCACCGCGTGGGTACACTCACTCAGTACAGCACTTAGTGTGTGGCTATCGTATCCTATACTGATCGCGCTGTGAACTTATGTTATTATCGTATTTAATTGACTTTATAATGACTGGAAAGCGTACAAGTGAGAGTGCTGGTGGTGCCCCAAAGAAAAGGAGACAGGCAATTACTTTTGAGATGAAAATGAAGATAATAATGCAGTATGAGAATGGAAAAACCGTAGCAACAATCTCACGTGACCTAGGTTTCTCGCACTCGACCATATCCACTATTCTGAAGGTCAAGGAATGTATTCGTGATGTAGTGAAAGGAACAACACCTATAAAAGGAACTATAATTTCGAAGAAAAGACAAGGTCCTATTCACGATATGGAAAAATTATTGGTGATATGGATAGAAGACCAGATACAGAAGCCTGTACCCTTAAGCCTTCTAACCTTACAGGCTAAATCAAGAAGCCTGTTCCAAAGCCTGAACGAGCAGGCAGGAGATGAATGTGAGCAAACCTTTAAGCCCCGTCCACACGATCGAGCAGTGCCCGGCGGGCTTTGCCCGCCTGTGTGTTGTTGTACACACGGGGGTGGTTGGCGGCAGTCATAGTCGGGCGCCGGTAGCTAGTAGGTGGTCGACAGTGGCGGGTGCGGTACGATCACCATGGTGTGTCGCAGGAATAATCGCCGGACAGTTAAAGTGAAGAGCATAGCGTTGTGTACTATAATAATTGCTGCTCTGTGCAAAAAGAAGAACCAAATGCAGAAAAAGGAATGGTGCAAAGAGTGGTTAGGTCGAAGAAAAGTATTGGGAAGTCATGCCACGATTTTACGTGAACTGCAAGATGGACAAGATGGACATGAGCAAGACTTCACCAATTACATGAGAATGGACCCCAACACCTTTTACAAACTTCGAGCGAAAGTGGAACCATATACAGGTATAAAAAAAAACAGGATGCCAATATGAGGGAGAGTATATCTGCAGAGGCTCATCTAGAGGCAACGCTCGTATATCTTTCAACTGGGTGCACCTACACGTCACTTCAGTATAGAACGAGGATATCAAAACAAAGTTTGTCTCGCATAATACCTGCCATGTATGAAGTACTCAAGGAAGATTACTTGCAGGTGAGATTTGTAGTACATAAAAATTCATTGAATAATGTTAGAATTATGATATGCATAGACAGGAAGCTATGGGACTAGAGTGAGGAGAGCAGCAGGAACGAAGAACACACACGAATGTCCTCATTACATAATACATAAACAATCTCCCGTTTATTGTCACGCCAATATTGTACATTGTATAAGCTTATTTGGTTATACACTGGACGTCTGGATCAAGCGGGGAACATACACGTATCACATTTGCAGTACTTAAAGTCGTCGCTCCATATCGGGCAGCAAACCACCAGGCAGGCGAACCACGATTTCGCTCAACGACGGGTACGGGCACTCCACTGGTTTGCCAGTCAATTTTGCCCGATAACAGGCATTTAGCGCGTGCCCGCCAGGCACTGCTCGATCGTGTGGACGGGCCTTGACAGCAAGTCATGGGTGGTTTAATAGACTTAAAAAATGCTACAGTCTACACAATGTTAAGGTGAGTGGAGAGGCAGCTAGTGCTGATGTTGGTGCTGCCGAAGCTTTTAAGGAGGAGTTAGATGATGTGATTGTGGAAGGGAATTATTTGCCTGAGCAAATATTCAATGTGGATGAGACTGGATTATTGTGGAAGTGCATGCCTGAGCGGACATACATCCACAAAGAGGCGAAAACAATGCCAGGATTCAAGGCATTCAAGGACAGAATTACACTTCTGTTGGGGGGAATGTTGCTGGTTTCACGTTAAAGCCCTTCATGACCTATCATTCAGAGAACCCCAGGGCTTTTAAACATTATCAGCAAGCACACACTGCCAGTGCTTTATCGCAGTAATAAGAAAGCCTGGATGACCTTAGCACTGTTTGAGGATTGGTTCATGACTTGTTTCATTCCACGAGCCAAGGAGTATTGTCTGCAACAACGGATTCCATTCAAGATTTTGCTGATTTTGGATAATGCTCCGGGACACCCACCACACCTGGACGACATGCACCCTGATGTTAAGATAGTGTACATTCCACCTAACACTACCTCTGTCATCCAACCCATGAATCAAGGTGCTATTGCACCAAAAGAACATTCCTATACTGCTCTTGGCTCCTTAAGCCATGAAAGATCATCACTGCAATGCAAAATCATTTCAAAATGTGTAGTTAGAAGAATTAGTAACTTGGCCAAATACTTAGGCTCACCAAACATGAGTCTTAAAGTCATTAAACAGAGTTTGAACTCTATCCTGGCTTTAATTGGATGCCAATGTAAGTCCGATCAAGAATGGAATAATAGGAGTCCTAGGTGTGAGAACAAAAATAAGCCTGACAATCCTGTTCAATACTGTTTGAACTTTCTTCAGTAAATAATTAGGTTGGCAGACCTATAATGAGTTACAATAGTCAACCTGAGACAAAATAAATGAATGTAATAGTGTCACAAGACATTGGCTATCCAAAAACTGTTTAACTACATACAGTATAGATTTCGAATATGAAAGTTACAACTCTAAACTACTGAATTTATATGCTCTTTAAAATTCAGTTTTGAGTCCAAATGCACTCCAAGATTACAACAGAATCGACAGGACAGAGTTGTACTTGTAATAGCCCCTGTCTTATAGGCAGAAGTATTTATATAAATGGGTTAATTACATTTGATTTATATACTCTATCACCCTCTGTAACTTTCCACTAGCTATGAGGTAGCATGTTCAGAGCACGTGTTAAGGTGTGCCCACGGGAAGTTGCGTCACTTAGTGGTGAGCTGAGGCATTAAGTAGCCAGCTCTCTGGCCACCCCTTGCGGCAGTAGTTTGATATCCTTGACTAGCGGAAGACGTTAGAAAGAGCCATCGTGGATGGTTCCGTCTTCCCTCGAGGGAAGACGTATATTACCGTTCTTCCTCGACAGGTATTACAAGCACTTACTCAACCTCACACACAAGCAGGACATATTTTAGAAGAGCTATTTAATATAATCTCAGTCCTCATTTAACGCTCTTAGCTACAGTGATCAAGTTACGGCTATATACACTTGGAACTGTATATAATATATTTTCTTAAATACAGAAAGGAACACATTGGATTTCACTACAGAAGATCCAATAAACTTTGATCTATATTTTAGTATGTCTAAAATATAAGGTAACCTGCTTCTCAAGTGATTGTTACAAGTGGTGACAACCCAGGAAGGTTGTTACGTATATGGCAGTTTCACAAATAACTGTTATATCACACTAAGTCACCTCAACAGATACACAGTTGGTAAAGGTATATGTTCTCCCCATTACTGTGGCATACTGTTCCATAAGAAGAAACCCTTATATACTTCCCCAAAGTTTAAAGAGCCAAAATTATCTATACTGTGTCCCCTCTTATTTCCTTGGATGACGATTATCTTGGCTTTGCCATTATTTAGCTTAAGTTTTTTCCAGGTCATCCAAATCTTAAGAGAAACATCAAACCAATTTCTAACATTAAAAAGAAACAATTGTGTAGTGGATTATTTTAATCTTGATATCTTCTGTGTATAAAAACAAAATTGGTGATGACCATAACATTCATATATGTATCCTTAAGGTACAGTATATTGGCTAACTGGGAGATCTTCATTTACCTGAAATTATAATTAATTTAAAATCCTATTTCTAACTGCACAACTTCTACTTATATAATCAAAACACAATGTATATTTTCCATGCCACTATTACCTCAAGGTAGTTCTAAAATGACCTTCTGAAATCACTAACTACCTGCAGTAATGTAAGAAAAGATAAAAACTACTCCCTTATATACTTGACATTTACTCTGGAATAATTTCTGTACTGTATAAATAAAAAGCAGTGACACCTGACTTAAACCTAATTACTATATAACATATAATGTCAAACAACCAAAATATAGCAATTTCTCTATGTACACCACATCCTTGCATTAACAAAAAGTTAACAAATATATATTTCAAACATATCATTCTTAAGTGCAGTTACAATATTATCTAATCAGCCAATAGCTCTTCTTCATCCAGATTCAAATCCTGAAAATAAAGAAAAATTATGAAAAAATATAGAATTATTCTTTTCACTCAACACCAAATATACACTCACCACAAAAAAGTTCTCGAATGCTCTAAAGGTCATACAATATGACAAATCAAACAAGAAATCTAAACATTCTCTCTGAGGAAGTTTTATTGCAAATTAAATGACTTCTTTTCACCTGAAAATACTACAGTATTCAGACATGCAACATACAGTATATTATAACGACATATTGAGTCACTTCGCAACTATTCTTAGATGACACGAGCCATGGTGCTCTTTCTGAAACTTTTTGTGGTGAGTATACATCCCCTTTTCCAAAGAGCTTGTGCACACACCAAAAAAATTAAATAATGGTGATGTTTATTTAACAGATACAGATGCTTAGCTTCCTTGTTTATCTAAATTGAAAAAAATATTCAATGGCTTGCTTGGGATCACTGAAACTCCCAACCTATAAAACACAGGAAAGGAAGGTGGAGAGCTACTGCCTGTAAAGTTGGCTGAATTGGCAACAAGCCACATCAAACCTCTAGGCGAACTGACTCTTCTCCACAAGTTGTAGAATATTATACTATATAAAGGATGATTGCATTTTTTAAGTAAAATATAATTCAGATTTTGTCACATTCACAAGATGATAAAGAAAAATTCTCACAAATGTCTACTGACCACCTCCACACTTATAATCAGTACTACACCTGCCAGGAACACTGAAACCATCCGATGTAAAATTTTCAACCTGTTTACCTGTTTACGCATATCGAAGATGTAATCCTGCACCAACTTTCTTTCAGTAATATGTACAACTTTATTTAAGCCATGAGTACTGAATCACAGTAATTAAAATAAAGTAGAGCTTGAGGCAATGGAAATAATGAAAGACAGATCTTTGATGAATAAGTAATTCTGATGTGTTAGAAGGCAGGTAATCAAACTAAGGAAGTAGTGACCTATGGTAACTAGGACACCATGCCATCAGGTATTCACAGCTAACCCAAGCAATCATGATGATTCGTAAAGCGGTAATAATGACAACAAAATAACAGATGGCTCGAGGACGTATGCTAGAACATCAATATAATGCAGAGTACAGTAGTATATGTGGCTAAAAAAAGAATCATTACAGGGAAACATATCCAACATCATGAGGTATCCAGAAAACTTCTCTACATCTGTCTGTCAGCAATTCCCCATGAGCTAAAGCACTCCTACAAACACAGCAGTACTGTACACACAATTACTGGACACCTACACATCTGGAATGTGATAAGAATGAACTGCAACATTGAAATCATAATGAAAAGAACTTAATTATTACTTTATAAATATCAAAGAAAACCATTTCAATTTTAATTTAGGAAAGCTACAGCATATGGCAAAAATGTTCAAATAAATGGTAATGGAGTACAGTGAAGGAACATACTGTACAGTATAGAAGGTGTAAATACTGATTAAGTTATAATATCAGGAAGCATCACAAGTGATTTATCCTCCCAGACTCTTACAATTATGATGCACACGGGCTCTAACTGGCTAAGAAACATTTCCCTCTACACAAATGTCAGTCAAATTTGCTCAACAAGGTATTCCCTTGCTAAACACCAAAGACATTCTGAGCCAAATTTTTTAACAGCATAGGAAAAACTGTGCGTGGCAGAAAGTTCGACTGTGTGCTAGTCTGGGGTATAAATGAATTTTGGGAGGCAGAGGTTCTGTAAAATGAAAAAAATAAATAAATAAAATAAAATAAAGTGAAATATTCAAAATAGCTTTCTATATCTTGTTGGTATCTGTGTTGTATGAAAGTTCAGATATACAGTACAGTACTGTACATTTGTACATAATAAATATTTAGCCATTTTCCCGAGGAATTTCCACCGGGTAGCTAGCCAAGACAATTATATTTATAGGAGGACATTTACAGTGGAAGCATTTAAATGTTTCACTACCTATCACAATAGTAAGGGGCACCATTATATCAAATAAATCCTCATCAACAAATACTGTGAAAATAAAATTAATCCAAATAGCTTACATTAGGGTCGATAGTGTCTTCAATGCGCACTTTCTCAAGATCAAGTTCCAATTCTCGTTCCAACTGAGCTTGATCTATTGTTGGTCTTGCACTTGCACCTGTTTTAAAATATATTCTGCATTAGCAAAGGAAATTTTTTAAGCAATATATACAGTACAGTATATATAAAATGACGAATATCACCAAACAGTATACCAATAATTACAGACAAACACACACCCACACTTGCACACATCAATATACTAAAGCAGTTAAATGAGGTAAAAAAAAAATAGATTTAATCAGAGGAAAAGTATGTTTGAGGTCATGTTAAATACAGCTACCTAACAACCTACATTTGGTCTGTAGTATGTACAGTATGTGCTTCTATACAAATGTGCACCTGCAAAAATCTTGCACGTGCACACACACACACAGGAAGGTTGTGTGTACGTATGTCCATGCACAGGCCTGCAAGTTTTTTTTTTGTGTACCGTACTTATACATGGTTGTGTTAGTGGTGGTGACAATGGATGTACTGTATGTGAATACAGTTCCTGTGAGTGTATATGTATGTGCACTTATACTTGAGCAAAGGTGGTAAAAATTTGCATATATAAACAAACACCGGACAATGTGTGAACATTTTTACATATAATCTAATCATAAATCAACCATGTACAGAAATGCACAATTATTGAAGTATATATTGTGATATAATACTTTAAGAAGGGATGATATTCTTTCTTATTCAGACATCTAACAATTAAAAATTTAGGGTTTATAACAGATCCTATAATTCTCCCTTTACTCTGTATCAGGGAAAAGGTTATAGCAGACACAGTAAAGTCAACACAACTCTCCTCTCTTATATGCACATGTATGTTAGTGTAAATGTTCCATAATTCTCCAAGTTCTTAATCATGAATGCAGTGTTTCATTCTGATAGTAAAGCATTAAGATAACAGGGACAAATATCCTAAGTATTATACAACTTCAGTTCCTGGATTTTTTTTCTTGTAGTCTTAAAATATATAAAAATAAGTAAATAAGAAAAAGCAAAACAGTGGAAAAGTTAAAACCTCCAGCCAACATTGCACTAAAGATGGAAAAATTGAATTTTTATTATTAGTTAAAATTTGTCTCATATAATACCTTAAATTAAGAGGAGGCCCCTAAAAGAACATATACTGCCACAGATTAGTAACTAAAGTAGTACCCCCAAAATGTCATTAATTCCACCACCACTTCTTGCAAAAATAAAATATATACAATAAATCCTCAATCTCCATGGCTCCAAGTTTGAAATTTTGGTTAGACAATAAACCAACTAAAACCATAACCTACAATTCCATGCAGCCCTTCACTATACAGTACACTGAATGACATGAGTTATTGGGAAAACAAAGCTGCAAAGAATTTAATTTCCATGCAAAAGTTGGATGTACTACATATCAGTGACAAATGGAAGATTTTTCTTGAAATCCTGTTGTCTAGCCGGAGCCTCAAGGTCAGGCTGCTCGTTATCACACTTGCCTTGTTTGGCTTTCTAGGTCATCTGACCACACTTTGCACCTAATCTTCCCCATTCAGGGTCAATGGGTGTTATAGGGAGGTCTAAGCAATCTTTATATCTACAAAAGATTTGCCCAACTGCCACATAAGGGTGTGTGCAAACAACCGAGAACCACAATCTAGACACGCATAACAAGAACAATCTGAGTTAAAAAAAAAAAAAAAATCCAAGCATTTTAGAGAGCCAATATGTATCACTAAATTCTTATTACCCTCTGAGGGCAAATGCATTATGGCACTAAGCCCTGGCTTTCTCCAAGAGCAGAGAATGGTTGTCACCACCAAGACCAGCCTCATTTTACCAAATAACTATACCATTATTGTGAAGGTAATACATTATGCATACAGTACATAATTGTGAGTGAACTGTATATATGTCTGCATATATAACAAACAAAAGTATCATAAAACTGGTTAAACTACAGTAAAAAGTTTCCCAAATAATTCCCATAATTAACAGCCCATAATAGAAGAAAAATAAGTAAAATCAAGAAAATTAACAATTTAAATGTGACAAGTTTCTGTAAATTCCATCTTTATTACAATTAAAGCTGTTTATTAAATTTTGTGAAGACAGTCAAACCATGCACCACCACCTTTCAATGAAATACATTTTTTCAAAACTTCAATCAAATGTCAAAAAGGAAAAGTATTAACAGTAACAAACTAAAATTTGATTCACAGATGGAACATATAAGATGGGCAAAGATGGTAAATATCACCTTTTGCTCTGCCCCATGTGAGTCATGATTGAGTAAAAAGTAAATGAAGAAGAGATTTTCAAAGAAAAAGACCAACTACTTTTTGGGCTATGATGCTTTTGTCTTAATGTCCATAAATAAAAATATAGGGTTGTCATATTAAAACTGTACAGAATTACTGTTGTACTTCACGCAAAATTCAAAAATTTTAATTACACGTACGTTAGTCATAGTTATTTGTTGACCTTAGGGAATTTGTGTTCCCTTTACACCAAATGCACAGTTAACTGTTTTACTATGCATATTGAAGAAAATTCATTAAAAATTTTCTAGCATTCAAAGAAATACTGTACTGAATCTCTAAAGACATAAGCACTGTCTGCATATACCAATACATTTAAAATAACCCCATACTAGGACACAACCCAATGTTAAGAAACACCAATCCCAAGGAATAACCTGGTTAAGAATGGTTCTTTGGTGGGTGGTTACCACCTGCAACTGTTACTTGCTAGTCCAAAGTAATACAATACTGCAGTCCCAATACAAGGATAGTTCACTTTGGTTTATAACAAAATATTTCCATTATTTTTTTTAAAAGATGAGATCTACTGAAGTAGAAGTTAATTCAATCATACCCCTACGTGTAAGTGATAAGCATACGTGCATACGTAATGGTTAGAAATATACTTGTCAGCTGACCAAAAGTCCAGGAGCCTGATTCCTGGAATTCTGATTCCCACAAACTGCACACTAACTACACCACAATTAACTGGAAGCAATACAATAAATGTACAGTATCTGTAAACCATGATTTGATCAGATAAAAACCCTTAATGTGACTCTTTTACATCATCTATGTGACAGTAACCACATTAATATACCATACCAAATACAGTACCTTAGATTTTGAATGTCAAATATAAAAGAAGCCACTTATTAATTACTTAAGAGAAATGTCATACACAAAAATCAAACAACTCCAGGGAAGTGTGGGCACTCAAAATGTTAGCATACAGTACTGGGCATGATTTCATTTATATCAACTAAATACACAGCCCATGTCTCACTGACACAGGTGGAAAACTGGAAGGTGGTGAGTAAAATGCAAGGGGTCAGTTTCTTCTGAAAAGCTATGCAATTGTTAATTTCTGAAAGGGTCAAAAGTATAAGTTGTTTTGCCAAATATAAAATTCAATGACAGACCAAAAAATAAATAAAAAATTTAATAACAGCAAACTTTTCTTTACATTGCAAGGGTAGAAAACCATCAGAAAAACTCGGTTTGATGTTTTGTTGGTTTTTCTTTTCGGTAAATGTTATCCTGGTTCCATGCCATTAAGCACGATGCATTTCTCTATAGCTGAAGTGGTCTCAAACAGTTACCTAGGTCCTGCATCTCGCCCTCCATTACAATGCTATCTACAGAGGGAAAGAACTCAAGTTGATGCCATGATGGAGATTCATATCCAGTCATATCCAAGGGACTTGATTTTGGTCTAGCCACATCTAAGATTAATCGAGGGGAGGTTAAGTCTTGTACCTCCTTTATGTTGAAGTCAATTAATGGAGGGCTTCCCTGATGGGATTTGGGGTTCCCAGTTTCAATTTGTCGCTCAAGACTCACGTCCTCACGGCTGTCAAATGCATCTTGCCACACTATGATGAAAAATGTTTGGCTAAATATTTTAGCTGTGCCCAGTAATTGTTTTAACTATGATAAAAGTTGAAAATCTTCCCAATAAAGAAAGTCTCTTATCAAATACAGATATGACAGACCAAGGAAGAGCAAAGAAAGAAAATCTGTCAATAATAGCACTTAAATTAACTTAACTGTATACCAATGCTCTACAGTAATTCTAATGAATTCACTCCAAAGCAGCAAGTGCAGCACTTTTTCACTATTTCTATTATCAACAAGCAGCACACCTATATTAACCCAAATGTGGTTCTGGATTTTGGTTGTTTTACAGGTAAACATTATATAAGCTCAGTGGACTGGAAAAAAATATATTTATCAATTATTTGTCCAAAACTAAAGGATATTTTTTTAATTGCTACATCCCATATTAAGGCTGATGTAGAAACAGATTCTTCTACAACCTACTGTACTGTAATTGTGATTTTGCAAGCACCTGAAAAATTTACAATTTTGGTCCTTTAAGTGTTGAATGTTTTAGAATATATCCTGAATTTCTGCATGCTGTAAAAGGAATAAAAGGAGTGTAGCACTGAAACCCTTCTGGCCTGGTTCACATTCCATTCAATGAAGTGAGTAATGAAGTATGGTATATAAATGAGATCATTTAACTAACTCACTGTAAATATATAAGGGTGTAAAGAAGAGATAGACATGTACAGTACTGTATACCAAAATACAGTAAGCTCTTGATTAAATGTTAATAATAAGACCAAACCCTGAAAATGGCACCTAAATTGATTGATTAACATCAAAGCCAGGTCTTCTTTCATTCTTTAAGATATACTGTACAGTATAAAGAACAGAAAATTATATCCAGTGAGCAGATGCAAAGCAGAATTAGAGACTAAAAGATGAATGAATAAAATGAGAATGGAAGTGCAATCACAAATGCTGGTAAGTGTACAGGTATGGGGTGGGGGAGCATTGGGATGGATAAAACAGGTGGGGGAGCATTGGGATGGATAAAGCAGGTGGTTGAGTCAAGTGCAAAGAATATATGAATGCAGATTATGAGGTGCATGTAAGGGAAGGTACAAAAACAAGGTAATATGACTGTTGTACTGGGATAAGAATGCTTGGAGAACAATGTCCATGACACTATCTTGGATAATATGATCTTGTGTACAGAGAGGGTGAGAGAGGAAGAATTGTCAGATTGTGCTGAGGAATAACAAAATTAAACACTGAAGAAGCAGTGACAATTCTCTATGCATGAAAAAACAAATTAAATTTCTTATATAAAGAGTCTTATAGATTTAAGTATAAAATTACTGCTAAAATGTGCAATGGCCAACCAAATACTGTACTATGAGGATAATGATAAAGGGAGGTATTACATTATGTGTAAGACAATGGACCATATCATTGTAAATTTTACCATTAAAAATCACATGCAATTAGAACAAAGTGTGTTAAGTGTGTATTATAATATACTCTCTTAACTAATATATAAAAAGCAAACAAATCCAGAGCCACTCATGCCCAACCCCAAAATGGTTACCTAGCGTCTCTTTCTTTTGCTCCAAACCCCAGTCTTCCACATCATCTTCATCCCATCCTAACACCCTCCTGGAGTGGAGTACAGGAGGGGGGGTCGACGCTGACGCTGCTCCAAGATCCACAACCTGTTCGTCGTCTTCTTCGAGGAAATTGTCATTATTTTCTTTTTGTGGTACATCACGTTTCTGTACAGGTACTAGAATATCGTCGTCATCTTCTGCTACAAGAATGTCATCATTTGCCGCAAGACTATCATCTTCATCTTCTGGTAATACATCATCACTATCTTCTGCCACTAAACTATCGTCATCATCTGCTAATATATCGCATTTCATTTCACCCCAATCATCATCATTTTCTGTATCCAGTTTCAAAACATTTTCCTCTTCCTCCTCCATATTCAAAACTGAAGGAATATCACCTCCCAAGAGATTTTCCACCTTTCCCAAATTTTCCACCTTCTCTTCTGGCTGAGAAAGATAATCAAGTCCCTCATCAAGCTCTTGACCAATACTCCATGGGATTTCTTCGTGAACTAAAAGTAAGGCACACATGATTGAAAAAAATTAATATTTAGAATTCAATGCACAGTAAACTCTCGAAACTCAAGAACTATTTCATGGGTAATTCTTAATTTTCTTACTTTAAGTACAGTTAAGTGCTTGTAATATCAAAGAATACAAAATAATAAAAAGTAAAAAGATGTGAAAGCAGGCTTATGAAGCAACTTCTCTAAAACAGAAATAGGATTTGAGATGGTAGCAAGCAAGGAATTTTTATGAAGGAAGACAGCAACTAAGCATTAATTATGTTTTAATCTAACAGTAGATTAAAAATATTCAATAGAAACGTGCAGCACACTGGGAGAAACTAAACTTCTGAGAGAACACTGCACTATACTCAAAACTGGTTTGTAATTAAACGAGGCTTTCAAAATTTAACTTCTTGTGGAAACTATAGTTGTAACTTCAGATATTGTACACTGACATTAATGTGCACAAAAATATTAATTGAGAATTCAAAATTCTCCCACCTTCACTTTACCCCTAGGCTGTGATACAATTTTTACATCATACATTAATATACTGACATTTGTCATTCACAGGTCTAATATACAAGTACTGTATATTGTAAACTCATACTGCTTTATTATTCCTTAATCAATTCCTTTAACTCATAAATGGTCTTTGCCCATTTCAAATTATTTTCTGAATACAGGTACAATACTGTACTGTACTGTACAACCCAATCACCAGTACTATACAAGTATTCAATGGCACTAGCTAAACCTCATAATACACTCATCGTATACTGAATTATATTCATCATTTTCAATAATGATATCACAGAAATGTAGACAGTACTGTGCAAAGAACAACACATCTAGACGGGTGTTTTGTGATAGTTACACAACTGCCAGTACTGTATTATGTATACCTCTTATTGGTGAATTCATTCCAACTTAAATTTTTCTAACTACAGGTGCTCCTCTACTTATGAACTAGTTACGTTCCTGAGGCTTTTTTGTAAGTCCAACTTCACTCTTGCAGATACCAAACATATTGTAAAAAAAATGAAAAGATTATGGATATTTAGTACAGCTATACCCTTTAATACAGCCTTAAAACCCAGCTCACTCTTCTCCTCTTAGGTAATGTTTGTCTATCTGGAATTTTCTTTAAAATAATCCAGTCTCATCCACATTAGACACCTGCTCTGGCAGGTAACCCCCCTCAGTGATGATGTTTGTATCTCTGAAAGTTTGTAAGTTGAACGTTCTTTAAGTAGAGGAGCACCTGTACTGTACAATATACCTCTATCAGATATTTCCAGTTATTTCTCCAATCACATAAATGATGCAATGGTCTCTATTAGGATTCAAATTTCTCTTTTTCAAACATCATGTATACATTTCCACCTTTTATGCCGGTGGCCTTCAAGTGCAGTTAATATTTTGTATTTTCTCACTTGGTCAACATATTTTGTAGTAATCATTTTGTTATTTCCAGTTTTACTAATAACTTTAATAGGTATTAATCTATCTATGCTCAAGAACCACATTATGACAATTCACATTTACCACATTACTGTACATATAGTGTATTAATAAGTAACATATTGGTTTCTTGGTTGCCACTGTTACATCCATAAGTTATATCAACAACAATATTTCATAAAATCAATGTGTGTCAGTTTTAATTTATTTTCAAAGAATCTATCTGTCCTGTCTTGCCATGCAGATTTTATTTTCATACCATTTGTCCAATGACAATGAATATTTCCTAACTTCACATCAATTCCTAATAAGAGGCAGTGATACCCTGAGTATATAGGGATCTAACCTGGATTTGAGGTAGAAGTAAACAGTAAAGTGCACACAACCATTTACCTCTACAAATATATGTACTTTGGTATCGAAGATTATGGACATTGAATAGAAGCCAAGTGATAAAACATACTCAAGTCTGGAGTAGGAGACACAGGGGCTGGCATAACAGGTGTGGGTAGCAGTGGTTCCTGAGAGACAGCAGCAGGCTGTTGTGGTGGTGAGGAAGAGAGTACAGGGGCAGCAGCAATAGGTTCAGAGGGTGGTGCAGAGGGAAGCATTGGTTCATCTTCTGGTAGATTTTGTGCACCTGTGAGGATTACCAAACAAAGCTCACAAGCATGTACCTCCACCCACACACTGTCTGTTTACAATTTCACTTTATCTGTTTACACAAATTAAAACAGGAATATAAAAATAACTGAATCAAAACTGAAAATATAGTACAGTAATTAATACTCTAAAATACAGCAAAAAATATAAAGTACTGCTTCTAATGTGAGAAATATGATGGATTAGGTTGGTTTTCCTCATGAAAAAAGGGGAAAAGGTATTTTTCCTTCATTATTTAAAGACAATCAGTTAAGTAATTTATGTTACCAATCAGACATTTATGGTATTACAAAAAAGTAAAACATTTGTCAGGACAGACCGAGTGGTTTAATATTGTACACACCTTGAGGTACAGTATATGTCAGATACAATATCATAAGAATTGCATTAAACAGAACACCCAAATTTGTGTGCATGAGAGAGGGATATTCTTTTATTTTTAACTACGTATATGAACACAAGAAAGGTAAACTTTTCCATTTTTTTTGTCGAGTTAGATTAATGAAGATTGCTAGATGGTGAAAAAATTATGGTGCCCTGAAGAAAGATCTCAGCATTATGAAGTATCTGTGGATATGATGAGTGACTTACATCGATCCTACTTTATAAAATGTTGTCCTGGAATAAAAGGCTGGTTACTGGTTACATTACTACAAGACCATCAGAGGGATAATGAAAGAAAACACTCATAAATGAAACTGAAAGACAATCAAGGACTAAATCTGGAAATCCCATTTTAAAGCCGAGTCAGGTCAAGGACACATACCCACCAGGTCTATGTCTGGCACTAATTTAACAATCAGCAAAACTCTACTGCCTCAATCCTCATCTTCAGAGGAGGGATCTGGAAATCAAATGTCTTCCATTTGAGTGTTAAGCCTCCACCTCCCAGACCCCTTGATTCTAAGAGCAGAATTTTTTCATTAACAATAATGATTATTTAGGAACACTGTTTACCACTTTAGCATCCTATGGATCATATACAGTACTGTACTTCATACTTGTACAGTACTCAAATTTTTGAAGAGTGTTATTTATAATCTCATATAAGTACTGTACTGGTTGCTCTCATTTATACTGGGGGTTATGTTCTAAAAAGAGGCAAATCTGACAACTGCCTCTAGTAGTAAGTAATATTGGTGCTTGGTGGACTGAGTAGTTGCTAAAAACTAATATTTACATAAATTATGTTTAACTAATGCTGAAGGTTAACTAGGCAATTTCATATACTGACCAGACTTGACAAAAGTTGTCTTGGGCTACCACGATGTGTCGCAAATTTTGTGAAGGCAACTGTACCAGTATTAACCAAATCTGCATAAGCAATGAAAACTTCCCACCACAGGCAGCCCAAACTTTTGATGATGATCCTGTACTGTACAGTAATGCCTCAATTAGCACAAAGTATACATGCTGAAGGGCTAATCAAATTTGCACTAATCAAGTAGTGTATTGTACTGTATGTACACTGTACAGTCAACCAAAGATGCACTGACCTCACCCTGGGTCTTATGCCGAGACAATTTTACCTGGCAATACTTAGTAAAGTAAGGCTGTATGTAATGGTGAATGTGATTGGTGGACATATTTTCAGCAGTCAGACTCAGACTAAATATTAAACAAACCAACGGCAGACCTTTTTAATATAAACTATTCATTGTTGTTTTAGATCATGAGAAGTTTCCAAATGTTCATATACTCTGTATTTGTATAAATAATGAAGAAAATTTGATGTGAGAATCTTGTGGCAGCTGTGGTTGTAGTCGAGTTGCCAATTCATTAATATAATTTTCTTCATTATTTAAGCAAATATATGAACATTTGGAACTTCTCTTCATCTAAAATAAGGATGAATAGCTTATTAAAAAAATTATACCGTTGGTTTGTTTAATATTTATCCTGACAGTGATACAGCCAAAAATATATCCACCAATCACAATCACCATTACATACAGCCTTACTTTACTAAATATTGCCAGGTAAAATTGCCAGCACGAGACCCAGGGTGGGGTCAATGAGTCTTTGGTTGACTGTACATGTACGTACAGTATTTTATAAGTGATAAGTCTACAGTACTTGTAACAAACTGAGCTTGAGGAGTAAGTTATATGGTGTTTGTCAGAGAATGATCACACATTGAAAGTTTCCTTTGATAGACTTAATAACATCACAAGTGTTAGAGAGCAATCAATATTCATTCATACATCAAAGTATGGGAAAATTTTTGTTTTAATAACTGAATTAGTGTAAATCAATATTTTGTAAATCGGGGACTACCTGGAATTTTGGGGTAAAATGAATACGTACTGTACATTATACTTGTTTGAAAAACTGAGATGACTACAGTAATAGCTTTTAAATTTCTCAATGTCATTAAGATATAAGAATAATTTAAGTATGAGAGCAAATCAGTCTAACAGAACAAAATTACACACACAAAAAAACAAAACAGGATAAGCATAAAGAAATGTGCAACATCCATGAGGGTGCGCGCTTTGGGAAAACCCGAGACGTGAAAGCAGTTGCTGGACGTGTGCAACAGATACAAACCTACTCTGATAGGTCCTCATATGTGTAAGTTTCTGCCTTTGAGTATCATCTTGCAACTTTCTTTTTCAAAATATCATTTATAAACACATTAATGTATGAAAACCTTTAATGGTATAAAATCTTCATAAGCATATTTACGTTACTCGGGAAAACTTTGAGGTCAGATGAGATTGCTCCATCACACTGCTTTTATAAGTCATTTTAATACCTACACCATATAAAGCATAGTATTTTTATACTGTATAATAAAAAAAAATAAGTACAGTACTGTACAGCATAAGGCCTTTACTTAATTTTAACCTCGAGTTATACATTACATAACTCCACATTAGTTTCTCAGGGATCATTTCCCAAACTCCCTATTTCCCATTGAATCTAGCCCTTGCCAACCACAAAAATAATCTACAACGCAACCCTTGTAGTTGGTGAGGGATTATTGTAGGTATAATTTAATGACAACTTATCAATAAGTGCAGTATTTCAAGCACACTTAACAATTTATGTATCACCAAGCCTTAAGGTTGACAGGACTCTAGCTACCTGTCATACTGGAGCTTGCACATCCCAATAATGCAATTCACAGCACATGTAATTAAATTCACAGCTAGACTAGGGGTGAAACTATAACCCCTTATCAAATATGAACATCACTAACCAAACCAAGCTAGGCACAGACCTCCCTAAAGATCTACAAATGTTCCTGCATTGATAGTGGAGACAACTTTTGGCTCCTATGAAGCCTTCTGTCGTTAAAAGACAACTGTTACACTTACTATCCTATTTTGGGCCACAGGGTGTAAAGGGAAAGAAGTAATGATCAATATACCCTTGGGGGTTAAGCCTTTAAAGGTTAGTGTCACGCTTTGTTATTTTATTCCGGCTAACACCAGATGATTTTATTCAGCTTAGGAATGGTCTCTGCCCCTAAAGGATTAATGTAACCTCTATTCTGGGTACCAGAGCTCTCCAATTGGTAGCATGTACGTGCAGTATATTACGAGGAGTCACCTGGCAGATTGTTTAAGCCACAAAAGTTTATATATTTGCACTTCTTTCTAGCCATCCGCCAATAAACAGGAATGGCTTGATCGGAATTTTTTCAAAGCATGCAAGCCTTTCCCCGGCCAAGATGCAGGGTAGCCTGACAGGTACTGATCTCTTGATTCTTAGCAGTTAGTGGTTTACCTACCCTCTTGGCAGGATGCTAGTCCACCTAAGGGTTGATCTACCATTGGGAAAGAGTGTCCAAGTCATACAGTTAAGTGGAATAAAAGAATAGAAATGTTATAATCTATTTTGTACAAACTTGAATAACTAGATATTTTGAACGTACAGTACTGTAAAACTTACGAAATTAATCAGGGATAAGAGGCAATTTTATCCATTTCTTTCTTCTATTGAATAAGAAAAAAATCTTCCTTTAAAGATACTGTACTTCATCCATCCATTCACAAGTTATGAAGATGAAATAAGAACTATCATGAAAAAATACAATTCTCACATAGCTTGGGTGGCTGCTGGGGAGCATCAACAAATTCAGAATCTTCATCTGCACCAACATATACAAACGTTCCTGCTGCTTCAGCTGCATGCATCTCTTCTATGGGATTGCGATCATGATTACCCTGGAAAAATAATTATGGTATTAGCACTTTATACTTCAGACACTACAGATTACATCTTACTGAACATAACATACTTGGCTTTATACTCTTTATAATTCTGTTTTTACAAATTCTGCCCCTTTTTTATCTTTTAAATCATAAAATGAAATTTACCTGTACATTCAACTGCACTTATATTAACATGAAATCTGAACCTTAAACAATTCTTATGGACAGAAAATTACAAAGGACATGTAAGGACTAAAGTGGTTCAGTGTTACTGAGGAGTAGAAGTGATAGAAGAAAATACTACTGTTGTGTATACTGTACCAAGACATTTTAGGTTGTTGGTCTTTTTTTCAAGTTTTCATATTCTGTTTACTAAGTTACACCAAATGTTTACAAAATAACTATAATTTATCTCCTAACTTCTTTAACCCTTGCCTGTAAGCTCATGAATAAAGTTGTTATATCCAAAACATGGAGTTTTCTCCCAGCTGTATCATTCAATTATTTAACCAGACATTTTTCTTAATAAAATGAACAATCTTTGTTACTAAAGAATGGATGGTAATATCACAAGAAGAGTTGACTTTTATGAAACTAATGCCCCACAGTTGTGTTAACAAGATGAGCCTTGTGGGGCAGACAGTGGCCATATTTTATTAAGTCGTGTCTATATACATGAAAACAATTTCTTACGGGTGCTGAAGGTGCTTTAGTTGCAGGGAGAGTCCTCGACTGCTTTTCAAGGAAGTGTTGAGTCTTCACAGCTTCTTTAAGGCCTGGGAATAAATTATCATATTGTGCAGGATCGGCCAGGCTCTGCCCAATCTTCTCCCCAGCTGCTGTTTTCCACAGGCCCACAACACGTGACATTTCACTTGGTAAGTAGGTTCTGCCAACAGTTAAAAAAAATACTACATTATCATATTATTTCTGACAATAACACAGAAATCCCATTAGGTGGTATCAAACAATAATATTTACTCCAGAGTTGTCCTTAAGGAGCACAAAGTCAAAAGTACCTCCCCAGTCTGTCACATGATGGAAAAAATATATAAAGTAAAGAACTAGTGGGAATAAGAAGACAAGGTTAAAAACATTTCATTGAGAATAGCATCTTTCTACAAAGGTACCTCTACAGGAAACCTGGGAAAAATAATCTCTTGCATCTCAGCAATTATGTTATATCAGGATTTTTTTTACAATAAGATAAGTTTCTCTTATAACTAACCTTGCAAAGAAGGCAGCCTCGGGGACTCTGTTAGTCTTGATGAGCAAATTTAAGCATTCTTTAAGGTTGCCAGTGAGGAAATATGATAAGAAGGCCACATTGTTTCGTCCCTGACTTTCAGCTTCGTTACCTACTTCTTTGATCAATTCTCCGTTACCTTTAAAGAAAAACGTTACATTAAAAAGTAGAATTTTGATGAATGTCTAATATATCTGAAAAGTTACATGACATTAAACACAGATTAAAATTTTTCTCTTTCATTAGTTTTGCATGAAATAAAACATTTAATAACTACAGGTAAGTTCAAAAATTAACACTAATGAAAAATATCAAACACAATTTATCATAGTTGCAATCAAATCTGATGTCTTGACAGATTGTCATTTCTACTTAATGCATCCAAGCAGCAAGCATACTTTATTTTCACTACCCAAGCAAAGATCCCCTTAGTACTTTAAAAGCCACATCCACATTTTCAGGAACTTATAACATTAATCAATATCTACAAGTAGTACCTCATCAGCAGTCTTTGAGTTTGGTTTTACTTGATCTCCTCACATAAATATAATATAATAATCTCATTTGTGTGAAAATAGACTTACTGTAGTAAAAAAATAATGGTTTAATTGAGTGTTCGTGAGATCTTAATTAATTTTTTTTTTAATTCAGGTGCCTTATTACTTATTACTCAGGAGCCTCCTCCATCATTATTATCTAGACACTTAGTCTTCCTTGTTCTTCTCTGCTATTTATTACATATATTCTTCTCTGTCATTCAGTACACAGGCAGTAATACAATAATCCAGACACTGATCCCATGTTTTTAACTCTGTAATCATTGATCCTCCCTGAACCTTATCCACATATAATCAGAACCCCTAGTCATGGAAGAGTAGAAAGAAGAAAAATGGAAAATAATAAAACATTATGTGCATAATCTTACCAGAAGCTGTAGCCTGCAATAATAATCCTGGATAATCATGTGCACGAAGAAGGCAAGTCTGTGCAGTTTGCAAATCTCCTCGCTGCTGGGCCAAGTCTGCCACCAATCGCCACTTGTGTTCTGAGCCTGCTTCTACAGACAGCTGATGACAGACATCTAACTCACCAAGACTCAGGGCTAGATCAAATCTGTAAATATATTTTATGTAGACTCATGATGCTCATTACTACTGACTTAAATAACATTGTTTTAAAATATCTCACTTGTTAATAAATACTCCTGATGTATTAAGCAAAAGATTTCCTAAAAAAGCAATTTTAGCAACATGTAAAGTAGTAATATCTCCATTAACCAAAATCCCCCAAACCCAGAAGTCTCCGACAGCTAGAATTTAAATTTTCTCAGAAAATCGTTTCCAAAGCCGGAATTTTCCGGAAAACTTCGGCTTTGGAAACAATTTTCTGAGGGGCACACTTTCTGGAAAATTCATTGAAAAATTTCACAGTACCCAGAAAATTCCAGGGATGGGGTACTGTATATATTTCCGGGTTCGAGAGATGATGTAATGTGCAATTTCTGGAACTCCCGAGATTATTTTTCCGTCACCCGTAAAATTCCGGGTGCACTGCACCAATTGTTCCAGCTAACGGTGATACCACTGTACAGTGGGGTATGCTATAACGAAAGGATCCTACTACGAATATTCCTATAACGAACGGTTTTACCTATAAAATTGAGAATGCTATAACGAACGAAACTCCTACAACGAACATTATTTAAAAAAAAATTTTTTTTTTTTTACTAATTTATTGTTTTTTATTACAAATATTAATGATATTCTTTATTTCAGGGTTTAGATGCATATTTATGCACTTTTTTACAATTTTTACAATTTTATATTACAGTAAAAGTCCAAAAATCCGGATGCCAGAAATCCGGACCACCCGAGAATCCGGACTTTTCAAAAACAAATTTTTTTTTTAGCGGGCATTTGTGTGCATGTGCGCATGCGTGAGCGCCACAGCTGCACAGCGACAACAAGCGACCACGTGGTCGCCACTTTAAAATGGGCAATCAAACTGTGACAACATACCGTATATACTCGTCTATAACCCTCCCTCGTTATCAGTCGACCCTGATTTTTTGACCAAAAAATCGTTAATTTATGATATTCCTCGTTTATAGTTCCACCCACGCTTTTGAGGGTAATGGAACAACAAAACCACTAAAAACACTCTACGTCCTATAAACTGAGGCTCGCCGTGCATGAAACACAAGTGCTCAAGGCAAATTGTTTACCATTTATTATTACGACACTTTACACTGAAACGCGGGTAGTTTCAACAAAAATATTGTATATTTCCATTTAAGTATTTATTCAAGTCAATTAGGAGGGAATATTATTGAAATACAACAGTTTTTAAACTAAACCATTCGAAAAGCGATTACGGTAACATCTTTTGAACGAAAGAAAGCGAAAGTCATTGTTTTCGTCATGATTTTATCCCACTTTCCACTGTAATACGTATGTAATTTCAGGAAAAATATTACATTTCCGTGAATGTATTATATCAAGCACAGTATGAATAGAATATCATTGTAATATACAGGTAGTTCTGCTATAACGCGATAATTGTGTTCTTGTAAAATATCGTGTTATAGAAAATCGCGTAATAGAAATAACAGGGCTTATGGAGAAAATAGGGTTAGGTGCAGATTACTCGAAATCGAAAAAATTTAGTAGTTCGCCTAACACAAATGATAGCACAGTCTAAATAAATGTTACATTCAAATCTAATAATGAAATCATACAGTAAATGTAACACTTTAGTTGATGGGGGAGAAGGGTGATTTTGAGGTTGATAAAATCGAGCTTCTCTTCAATTGTTATATCCTTTCTTTTACGATCATCACCGGGAATTCTATCACCAGAACGCTTCTTGATGATATTCTTCTTTACTATATTCACAGTTAATACTGTACCACAAAATTGGAGAAATAGTAAGCAAAAATCGCGTTATAGCAAACAAGCGTTCGCGTTATACAAATATCGTTCCTAATTCATAAATCGCGTTAGAGCAAATTCGCGTTATCAAAACACGCGTTATAGCAGAAATCACTGTATCAGAATTTTAACCGAAAACTATTAAAAAAACGAGTAACATCTCAAGAACATCGGAAGCTTAGGTAAAGTCTTTTGTTTTCGTCATGTATTTTATCCTATTTTACATTGAAATACGTCACGTTTCCACAAAACTACTATTTATCTCCGAGAATATATTCATTCAGGCGCAGTTTAGGTAAAATAGACGAGTGATGTAATAGTTTTTTAACTGAAAACGATTCGAAAAACACGTACCCTCTAGCCCTGTTCAAAGAGAGGACTGGGAGAAGCTGTTTGGTGCTGCAGACGATGACAAGGAAAATGATTTTGATGGATTTTAATGAAAATATTCAGAAATATGGTATCGTAGTATTTATTCAAGCCAATTAGGATAGAATATTATTGTAATACAACAGTTTTCGAACTGAAAACCATTCGAAACGCGATTACGGCAACATCTTTTGAACGAAAGAAAGCGAAAGTCATTGTTTTCGTCACGATTTTATCCCACTTTCCACTGTTCAGCAAAAATATTACATTTCCGTGAATGCATTATATCAAGCACAGTATGAATAGAATACCATTGTAATATAACAATATTTTGAGTCCTACTCTTTCCATTTACAGAGTACTGTACAAGCCCATAATAATGGCTCCTAAAGTAAATAAACTTCGTTGTGTGAAGAGAAAGAAGAACACATTGAAATTGAGTGACAAACTTGAAATAATTAAGAAACTAGAACGTGGTGTGAGCAATACTGTTCTAATGGAAACATATGACATTGGAAAGTCTACAATTTATGATATATAAAAGGCAAAGAATAAAATTTAGAATTCACAGCTTTTTCATTAAAACTGCTCATTTTGATAAATGAAGCATGCTATATTTCCAAATGAATAAACTATCAAAATGTACCTGTTCATTTCTTCTTTATTCTTCATTAAATTTGAATTTTAAAAGTACTGCCTGAGAATCCGGAAAATCCGGACCGACCCAATCCCCAAGCAGTCCGGATTTTTGGAGTTCTACTGTATATTTTTCAGTGTTAAGTGGTTGTATTTGGGGGCCTGGAACGGATTAGTCCTATAACGAACGAATGCGATAACGAACAAGGTTCTAGAACCAATTAGATTCGTTATAGCATACCCCACTGTACTTTATTCTTCGCTAATCACAGACACATCACATCTCCAGACCACAATTACTGAAGAGTCTCCGACCCTCCTGATGACGACAAACCTTTACCCTCCCTATTTCCTTTCTGAATGTACATTTGTATCTTCACATCCCACTTTGTATAATGTCTGTCTCCAATCAATGCACTGTACCTACTATACTGCTCTTATTCAACCTCTTTACTGTCATCATCTCCCTTCCTGCACCCATCTCAAGTCCCTACCATTTGCATGAACATCTTTATTTATTCGATCATTCCACAATTTACATCATTTGCCTTCTTTGCCATTCCAAACATCCCTTACAGTTTCCTATTTATTACCCATTCCATTCTGGTATCTCAGATGCAGCCCTCAGTGTTTCACTGCTAAAACCTAAGGTAGGTAGTATTATACAGTACTACCGAAAATCATAAATTCCTTCCCTTCATGACACTTCCCAGCTTGCCAATTACCTTCCTCCCATGTAGTATCTCCCTACTGCACTCCCTGTCATACCATATTCTTAAACATAACTCCAAACACAAACATGGTTTACCAAGCTCCATTATATCAAACGCCTTCATCTCAAAAACAATTACTTCATTCTTCCCAGCATTTAACTTCAATTTCATTCCATCATACTACCTGTCAAAGTTAGTCACCAACTTTTGCAGTACTGTACTGTACTGTATCTGTTCACTCTCCACCACATCATTATAGAAACATGTTATCAGTGGCCACATCCTACCTTACATTTCCAGTTTTGCTCCTTCCCCTGAAACCCTTGCCTTTATTTCCCTTGCTATGCAATCTACAAATATGTTGAACAATTAAAGAGATATCACACTTCCCTACCTTACTCCAACTTTCACCTTAGAACTGTCACCTTGTTCTCTATTTCTTCTCATACATGCCTACTCTAGTATTAACTGATTACTGATATATCACTCACAGACAAGACCCAAACATAGTAGATCAAAGCTGTTTTCACTTACATCATGCCCCTTCTGAATAAGTTTTACAACACATCAACCTAAGCTTGTTTTATCATCTCAATATTACTGAAGCACTTCAGATATATCCTTCATGTTACTTAAAGAAAAAATTCAAGGAAGGTCTAGTTTGCATTTAACATACAAAACATTACACAAAGCAATAGTAGTTGAGTCAAGTCTGATAAACCTAGAATTTATTTCTTCCTTAAAACTTACCTATGCTCTGGGTCAGTAGAAACAGCAAGGGCCTGTTTCTTGAATCCTTGCTTCTCCAGGAAATGAGCCACACGTGTGCGATGTGCAGGAGGAATTGTGGGCAGTACTCGATCGGCAGTATCAAAATCACGCCGCATTACAGCTGTCTGATACTCAAGGACAGACACCAGCAGCTCATATGACACAACATTTAGTTCCTTGTCACCAAGATACAGTCTGTTGTCCTTTGGAATGTATCCAAGTAGGTAAAGAGTCCTAAAACAGAACAGTAAGACAACTATAAATTATAATTCAGCAGTAATTTACAATATTCAATAAACTTATCATTTTCATGGTTTTCATACACTGTAGTGTACAGGTGTATTAAAATATCATCAGGATGACAGCAAGAATGGCCTTACTAGAGAAGCAAATGACATTTTCAGGTATCTTACCTATCCAGATGAGCTATGGTAACGATCTCACCACCCACATAGTAATTCAGTCTGTTCACTGAATTAGTGTAGATGAAGCAATCACCCACCCACTTGCCGGTCTTCACAATCTCTTGAACCTAAAGGAAAATAATTTCTTAATAATAATTCATCTCTAACAATGAAGAGGGTGATAACCAATTTATTTTTTTCGGGGATTAGCCCACCCGGGCAAAGGTCACTGACCCACATCGGGGCTGGGGGAATATAATAATAATAATACCTGTAATAATAAATTTCATAAAAAAAATAATAACAATTAATAAAAAAACAATAATAAAGCATACATAAATAAAAATAAAAAAGATTAAGAGTGAGAAATGATATACAGGTTGACAATCCCTTATCCGAAATCCTTGGGGCCAGAGGCATTTCGGATTTCGGAATTTTTCGGTTTTCAGAATGGTTAGGTTGGTTTTTTTTTTTTTCAAGTACAGTGCGTGTATTAGCCCACCCACAGGTTACTGACATTGGGGCCTGGGGGCTATAATAATAATAATAATAATAATAATAATAATAATAATTATTCATCGGTCTAGGTCGTGTTTCTCACTTTTGATTCTTGTATTTCTTTATTATTATTATTATTTTATTATTACAGTATTATTATTATTATTATTAATTATTATTATTATTATTATTATTATTATTATTATTATTATTATTGTTATCATTATTATTTTATTTTGGTGTATTTTTATTAAAATTTTTATTTACTATGAATAATTATTATTATAATTATTATTACTATTACATCGCCCCCCAGGCCCGATGTGGGTCAGTGATCTATGCCTGTTTAAAAAAAAAAATGCTCCACAATTTTTTTTTTCGGTTTTCAGAGCTTTTCGGTTTTGGGAATTTCGGATAAAGGGTTGTCAACCTGTACAGTATGTATGTTGTGCTGTCAAACTAAGAGAAACAGTTGAGACCCTGCAATTGTAAGTAAATGAGGCAGAAAGTCAGCCAGATCAGCAACCTGGGACTTGGTCACAATTTTTGTGATGTCATATGGCAGCGGGGTCTACCATTAAACAACACATTATGCTTCCAATATCTCTCCAGGCGGTAGTACAGTACCTCCCTGTTTGGTAGCTGCCTACACTACCAGTAAAGCTATATATTTTCTTTCCTCCTCTCCTACCATTTTTAGGTGAGGTGAATCAAAGGATTGTGATATTGTTGAGGACTGAGGTACTGTATTACTGTACATAAGTGAAAAGTGACAGGAGAGGACTGATAAATGGGCAACACTATGCCACACACACATTCACAGCTCTTACTGTATAGGCAGCTTATGTGAATAAATATATTTGAGCAACTTATTTACTTCATACTGTACTCTCATTCATTTACATATGCGTGTTACATTCTTTCAATGTTAATATAATAATCATTATCTAATATCCTTGTTCCATTTACACTGAATATCAAACCTCTTTAGAAATTATTTTTATAAGATTTTAGCCTCTGATTAATCACTTATCCCACTTCTCTGTTTATTGTTTATAACTTTTGGGAAATAATATATAAATATATTTGTCCTCGCTAACTGTTAGAAATACACAATTAAATTAAAAAAATTTAAATAAATCACTTTTTACAAGATTAAGCTACTGTATTGGATGTATCTCCAATACATATACCGTAATTACAAGTGTAAATACAGGTATAACTTACAAGTACCGCACACCAATACCTATGTCAATATCAACAAGATGCCTTGATGTCAATATTAATTAAAATACATAAAATACTTCAACTAATTACATATACTGCACATATTGGTAGTACAGTACCCTGCCTGTGCTGTAGAACTATAGTAAACCATACAGAACTCTCCAATTAAAATAGTAAATTAACTGTATAATCTTACCTCACCAACAAGATCAAAGGCTTCTTCAATCCCATCCTCTGTCACACTATCCTTGTTTTCCCTGGCACTAGCAACAGCTTCAGCACTATACCTGTGAAGAAACAACAATACACTTTCTAGCAACAAACTCCACTTGCATAAATACATGTCAACATATTACTGTACAGACTTTACCACTCTCGTTAAACCCTTCTGAACCAGTGTTTGATATATGCATCACGACCATCTTATGCATAACACTCTGTCATGCAGTTCTATATGGCAAAACACTTACTTGAGAATGAAATAGTTTTCATCGGTGGCAATGCAGACATAATCTCCATTCTCTGACCAGAACACCTGACGAGGCTGAATCTCAATACGTCGCACCAATTCTTCAGTTTCCCAGTCATAGAATGCAAGGCCTGTTGTACTAGAGCGGCACCCCAGAAGGTACCCACCATAAATACCTGTCAAATGGAATAAGAAACCAAGTTAAGTAGTTGACCTAACTTTTTATACTTCCAATCAAAGGTTATCAACAGATGAACTGTATGAAGCATATCAATATACAGTAATGCATCTCTAAAATAAAACCTTGTACTTTATGCCACATGATGAGTGGATACCTCTGTGCCCATAGCTCATTCTTGCCTTTTTCCTCTTACTCTTCTGATGAGGTGGGCCATTAGGTTTCCTACCTCGCTGAATTTTAACTAATGCCCTAAAACAACCATGGACAGGCATAATAATGCGAGTTTCAGGCATTCCTGGTGAATCAGCATCATCTAAGGTTCTGTCTCCCATACTTGTTGGCAATATGCCACTTAGAGCTAGCAAATACCTGTACAGTGTGAGCATAAAATCCTTGGATATTAAAAAACAATAAAAATAAATAAAAAATTACCGGTAACTCGGAATGAAATAATATTATATGAACATGGGAAGTATGTAAATGTTTGAATGAGGAGTAACTGAAGTGAAACAGACAGGTTCAAATTCCACTTGTGAAGAAAGTCACTTTATATGGTCATGTGGTGAAAAGCATAAGGTTTAGTTCCCAACATATACAAGTACAGATGAGTTTCTAGGAGAGCATTATAACAATTTAAAGAGGGTAAAAGAAGTTGTGAATTTAAAAAAATATGTGATTATACATAGTGGGTGATTTTTATGAATTAGTAGGAACGATGAAAGAAACACAAGAATCAAGACCACAGGAGTTGGGTAACAGAAAAAAAGAGGGGAAAAGTTAAATGACTCTGGAACAAAATATTACTGTGCTTCAGTCAGAGAAAAAATGGGCTAAGGCTACAAAAAGTAAAGACAATAAGAACCTATAAGAGGTGGAAGAAAGAAAAAGAAAATGTGGGACAATTATGATAATGATAAAATGAAGAAAGAACAATTTAATACAAATAATTACCTTCACAACCAAAGTCAGGCTTGAAGGACTTCTTTTCTTTAAAGTTTTTGAAAAGTTTGACACTGAAATTAGACTCTCTGATGGCATATTCAGATGAATCCAAAGCCCAAACAAACTCAAGTGCAGGGCCAAAAGCTTTGTTCCTTAGGGCCATAGCAGTGTAGATGATATACTCTCCATCACCACAAACAACCACAAATCTGTTAAAAGTAGAAACATACAGTATAGTGTGCTCAACATTAAGATGCAATTACCATAGAAAAAATATATATACAGTACATACAAATAATGAAAAACTCCATACCGTCTTTAAATTACAATAATGATATGATACAATATTTCCTGCATCACAGCAGCAGGACTGAGACCTGCAGTGGCTTATTTGGACACCTGAGCTGCAAAAAATCTTTTGGGAACTGAATGTCTGGTCACTCGGAAATATTTAAAATACAGGTACACACGACTTCCAGGAAACCAAGGGACCCTAACTATGCCTGACATCTTATGATGCAGATAGCCTTGATATGGTTAAGAATTTAAAAGCTATAAGACTAATGTTGGATGTAATTATGTAACATCACATCATTTTACTAAAGCCTAATTATAAAAAGAACCTTCCCCTAGGAAAGGTGGCACACAACAGAAAATTTTGTATGCTACTCAATCATAGAATGTATTACTGTCTCATTCTTTAACATGATAATATCATACTGTACTCAATATGTGATTCATACCTTCCATTGGGATTATGTGCAATAGTTTGTGGATAGATATCACAGGCTCCAAGGTCCTTAACTGCTAAAGGTAGCCGCTCACCATCTTGGGCTTCTGCATCTCCCATAGCTTTTAGATTTGCCTGCTGAATCTCAGAGTGTCGAGCCCAGACAATCTTTCCACTAACATCCATTGACATTGCTGGTTCCTCACGTCCGAGCTGATGTAATCAGTAAGAATTAATTCAAATTAAATAACATCGAATTTTTACATTATTAAACATTTACATTACACATTAAGGTCATACTATTCATGGAATTATCAAGGTGTCATCCAAGAGGAAGGCCCATTCCAAGTATTCCAATAATAAACAAAACACAGCATAACACGGCATATACATGCAGGGGGAAATAACAAAAAAGTCACAATAAACACAACCATTTCAGCCTTCTAGTTTGCACTCCTATTCACTAACAATTTGGCAAAAGTTTTGTCAATAAAGACCAATTAGTCTTAACATTTTCTCCTTTGCCATTCTGACAAAGTAATGTACAGTACAGGTAGTTCTGCTATAACGCGATAATTGTGTTCTTGTAAAATATCGTGTTATAGAAAATCGCGTAATAGAAATAACAGGGCTTATGGAGAAAATAGGGTTAGGTGCAGATTACTCGAAATCGAAAAAATTTAGTAGTTAGCCTAACACAAAGGATAGCACAGTCTAAATAAATGTTACATTCATATCTAATAATGAAATCATACAGTAAATGTAACACTTTACTTGATGGGGGAGAAGGGTGATTTTGAGGTTGATAAAATCGAGCTTCTTCAAGTGTTATATCCTTTCTTTTACGATCATCACCGGAATTCTATCACCAGAACGCTTCTTGTTGATATTCTTCTTTACCATATTCACAGTTAATACCACAAAATTGGAGAAATAGTAAGCAAAAATCGCGTTATAGCAAACAAGCGCCATGCGTTATACAAATATCGTTCCTAATTCATAAATCGCGTTAGAGCAAATTCGCGTTATCAAAACACGCGTTATAGCAGAAATCACTGTACTTGTACAATTTTGTTTTTGCTTTTTCCTCAAGTACATTTTATGTACTGTACAGGAATACCCCGCTTTACGAGGTTTCACTTTCCTCGATTTCGCATTTACGCGGTACCTCGCCAGAACCGGACTTTCACTTTATGCGGTGCATCTACTCATATACGCGGGAAGCGGCGCAGGCAGGATGCGCACAAGGTCGCCCAGTCATCAAAACATTACCGAGTTCTTCACCCGCCACCCACCACAGCCGGCCCAAGTCAGTGATAGTGAGGATAGGGACTTATATGGACTTTGAGGGGTTTGACAAAGAGGTGCTGCAAGCCTATGTGGTGGATAGTGATACAATTGATACAGGTGAGGGCCAATAATCTGCCCTCTGCCTCGGAACCAACCCCCCCATCCCTGTGTGCCCAGCCATCATTTCTACTAATGTAAGTGTTAAAAAAACTAATATTATTGATATTTCTCCTAATTATTAATTGTGTGTGCATACCATCATAAAATTAAGATGTAATTTTTACGACAACGTAGGTATTGTGTCTGAAAAAGTGGAGTTTGGGGGTCGGGCCAGTCTCTATTGGAATTAATCCCATATGTTCTGTTGTTCACTTTACGAGGTTTTCACTTTCCACAGTACCCCATGGGTTCAATTGACCGTGTAAATCAGGGTACTACTGTACTGTATTTGTAAAATAAGGCATTACTGAGGATATCCTGAGTGAATAATAAAATCTGGTTTAAATTAACTCTTAATGAACAGGATATCATCAATGATAAATAAATTCACCTAATAATGATTTGCAGACTTACTGGACAATTATAACACAACCATTTACAGGTCTAAGGCATCCAGGTAGCATGCCTTTCACACTATACAACATTAGTAATATCTCCATTAGCCAGAATTAAAATTTGTTGCTCTGTTTCTCCAGAAACTTCTGAGTTTGGGAACAATTTTCTGGAAAAATCCGAGAAAATTTTCCCAGTACCCGGAAAAATTCCAGGGATGGGTGATTTTTTCCGGGTTTGAGAGATGAAACTCAAGAGCATTTTCCGGGAATTCAGATAAAATCTTCCTAGACCCCAGAATAATTCTGGGGATGGAGGATTTTTTCGGGGATTGAGAGATGAAATAATGCATCATTCGGCAAAATTCAAAGAAAATTCTGGGGAATTTTTTTCCGTGTTTGAGAGATGATCTAATGTGTAATTTCCGGAAATTTCGGAGAAACTTTTCCCGGTACCAGGAAAAATTCCCGGGATGGGGGATTTTCTGGGTATGAGAGATTCGTCTCACTACCCGGAAATCTCTCATTCCCGGAAGTGCTTTACACCAAATGCTCTGGCTAATGGAGATACCACTGTATTAGAAACAGGATGTAATAAATCTGCAATACAGGTGCAGTATATACAGTAGTATTAACAAGCACCACCATTCTAAGACAAAATGAATAAATAAAAATTGCTATGGCAAATACACACAGTTTTAAACTTCATTTGCTATCATACAGACACTCATTCTTATTACTGTACATCATTTCTGCTTTATTCTCCTTCCAAAACACGGTTTCAGATATTTTTCTGGTTTATTCGTCTCTTCACACAGCCTAGCACTATCCATAAGAAACACATACCGGGGTACATGCCCCCAAAATCTCCTAATGCCTCTGCTCATTCACTAACTGAAAACTACAAAATGTAATAAACAGAGTACATATGTTGAAATTCAATCCTTGTGCAGGCAAATAAAATACACACAAAAATATATAAAAAGAGAGAGGATTCACAGTACAGGTAGCTAATACTGAAGCTTATCTTACCTTGACCATAACACTGCCTTCATCATAACCAAAACAAACATTGTTGGATCCTTTGAGGGCACAGATGCACCATACACGGTCAAGGCCATAGTTGAGTGTGTTCTCCAGGCGGTAAGTGTTGGCGTGCCACACTCTAACTGTACAGTCCTCAGAACCAGTCAAGATAATGGGCAGCTCAGGATGGAATGACACTGTTCAAAAGAAAAGTCTGTTGACAAACCATTTTCAACTTCCAGAATACAATGTTCAAAGTAAAATCTTCACATACTATACTTAGATCATTATTTATACCTTCGTATAAATAGACAAATTTGTGTAACAAAGTTTACAGTGAACACTTACGCTGAACAATAATGCTTCTTTTTAACCTAGCAAAAGGATCCATAATATGATAGCAGTGACTCTTGTAACTCATGCAACTAAACACACAATTGCAAATCCATTGCTTTACAAAATAGCTACAGTATTGATGAGCATTAATTTTCCACTCATGCAGACAATTTTTCACTGACACACAATGGTGCCTTTCACTTATGACTTCCTCTGCCCACCAATCTTCCATCTCCATTCTTCTCCTAACTCAATCAATATGCCCTTACCCCATTCATTTTTGGTCTTCTATCTGTACATTTGTATACCAAACTGTAATCTTAAGTAAATGGGCTGTGAAGTTTATGAAGATTCATAAAATAAACAGATTGTAATACCAAGTAGCTTCCCCACCCCAAAGAACAATGTTAAGTGCTACAGGGTTTTATGCTGTCAACCTTAACTTCTTTAGGAAAAAATTGGAATCAATTCCTCAACCTCCAAAAATTCTTGCATATTCCAATCTGTTCCATTATACTTTTACTTCACAGTCACAAAGCCTCAATTATCTAACACAAAGTCCATTCACTCAAGAAGTAATACCACTGAGGGTTAATTTATATACCTGAAGAAACATTCTGTGAGTGTCCCTCTAATGTCTGCACACAAGTCTTGTTCTGATAGTCCCATATCTTAACAAGACTATCATCTGCACCTGAGATGAGGTACGGTTTATCACCACCATGGTAATAATCAACACAATTTACTCCCCTCTGGTGACCTTCCAGAGTGAAGTTAGGCTGTGAGGACCCAAGTTGCCACACCTGAGGGGGAAAGTAACAAAACCAACATTAAATTTTCATAAATAACACAATTTATCTGAGGCTGATGTAACCCCAGTTGTAGCCTATTAAAGCCAAAGAGCCACAACTCCATCACAATCAAAAATATGTTCATGCGTCCATGTATGAAGTTTCTAGAAATCACATTAACAATTATTGTACAAGTTGGTTTTACAAATTTATGATAAAAACAACTTATTAAAGACTCAATAGGGAGAAGTATGTAAGTTATGAATAATAAATAAACATCTCAGCTGGGCCTCACACTCAGAACCCAAAAATACAAAACAAGTACTTTATGAGGGTTCTTCAAGGTAATCTTCCTTTACATACAGGAACATACATGTATAGTACATAAACTAGTTGAAGATAATTTGAGGCTTTACAGTGTCATTTACTGTATGTTGATTCAGAAAAATAACTCCCTCCTTAAAAATAAAATATATCTAATGGAAAACAATATACAGTACTTACAGTATATTTTTTTGACACATTCAATATTCTAAACAATACTATACTAACCGAGAGCCTGTGCCACCCCGTCCCAAACTTCACCGGTACATTTTTACAGTTGTTACAAGATACTAAAAAACATTTACACAGTGCACATCAATTACTCACACACATTACCTCTCAAGTTCAGTAAGCTACTGTTCCTGGAATGTTTAATTAACCTTCCTCTCCATTCATTTTTATCAGTCAATCCATCTGTGTTAGATTAACTTCCATGTATATTCTCATAAACAATATGGAAGTATCAGTACAATCCAAACCTATTTGTTCTCAGTACAATACTGTATCGTACTAGGTACTTACAGTAATGGAAGTAGCTTTATCCTTTTCCATTTTTTACATAAATTTTTATGTTTACAACCTCAACCATACAATATCCATTAAAACTAATGTAACATTTACCTTGACAGTACGGTCAAGTGAAGCTGAAGCAAAGGTATTATTGTCCTTGGGGTTAATGACAATCTGCATTACATAGTGTGAGTGGCCTTCAAACCCTTGCTGGCATGACCATTTCTTGTCCCAATTCCACAGTTTAATGGTCATATCATCTAGCAATTAAAGAGAAATCAGTAACTACAACATAAAATACATTTTATTAGAAGGCTTTTAAAAACTTAAAAAATAAATTTAAAAATATATACTATACTGTATTGTATACAACCCAGTTAGGTAGTGAATATACTGTACAATGACAAATAGTAATGTATTTGCAGCAAATACAGAGGTCTGCCTGATTTTATGCATAAGCTCATGCCTAACCCAGAATAACTTATGCTCTAAGTAAAGTTTACCCATTCAAAAACCTGCTTAAGTAAATGTGTGTGTGTGTGTGTGTGTAATTATGGTTCAGAGGACCCTGATGCTGTATACTGCTCTGGAGATTTTGTGGACTGATTGAAAACCACTTGTAAAAGGGTGGTTAGAATACACTTACCACTACATGTCAATATGAATGGCTGAGTTGGATGAACTGCAATGCATCTGACATAGTCAGAGTGAGCCTCAAACTGGTGCACTCGTTCAAGGGTGTTGTAATTGTAAACACGCACTTGCATATCATCTGACCCGGTCACGACCCAATTCTTGCGAGCCACAAACCTTGCAGCTCTTACTGGAAGATCACAAACCTAAAACAAATCACTCCATTAATATTTCATAAAAATATTGAAAACCTGAACTTCAAAATAAAATTCCAAATGGTGTGTGATAAATATACTGTCTACCTTTATTATCATTTAATAATTACAGTACAGGGTATAATGAATTTTCAAACATTTATTGTAGTTACTACATAGTCTTCCAATAATGTAAGGATTAAAAGATTTTTTATTAAAAAACTATATGAAGAACATTAACAAAATAAAACAGACCATACTGTGCTGCACTACTGTTAAAATACAGTACGGTAATGCCAAAGATTGAAAAGAGCAATCACGAGAACTTATTTATTTCCCTATTACAATACGATCAAAAGTTACACATAACCAATACACTGTAGTATTAATAGTACTACAGTATAACTACACCCACAGTACTGCAATAAATTACCAAGGATACACTCATCACAATACGTACATGCTCAATGTTTGTTCTGTGTTATGGATGGCAGATTCCTCATTACACTATGGTACACGGAGTAAGGAACTAGAAGTCTCCCTTGACATGTACACTTACCTCAAAACTCTTGACGAGCTGCTGGCTCTCAATGTTCCAAACATGAACATTGCCATTGTAGAGAGAAGCCAGCATCCATGGCTCAGTTGGATGGAGGTCAACTGACTTCACGCGGTCTGACCGGGCCGTCAACTTCCGCTTCACGTCTAAACGCAGTGGCTGTATGAGACAAAACACCCATGTATCATACATTTATGATCACCAAGAGATATGAAAAATAGAAAATTTCAACACTTCTACATATAATGTACCCATACTGTACAGTATTTATCATAAAAAGTATAAACTAAACAACAAAACCATATTTAACCTACCTACCTAACTAACATACCTAACCTAAGATGGAAGTGCATTTTTTTATGTTAGGTTAGTTGGTTAGTTTGGTTTGGTTTGGTTAGGTTAGTTGGTTAGTTTGGTAGGGTTAGGTAGTTTGGTTTGGGTGTTACTGTATTTAGTTATTTACAGTTACTGTACAGGCAGTATGGAAAGTATGCTGGTAAGCATTTGGTTACTAAGCATTAGGGTAGCTTACTGGCAAGCATGCTAACAGTTTAAATGTAAACATGGTATCCACGAATGGACAGACAAAAACTAAATAAACAAAAGTAGGAAGGTTGCAGTCCCCCAACGAGATTTTATATTTAAATGGTAAGAAGCAATTTTTTTCTATACCGTCTAATTTTTGTTAAAGTTCTTCTGTTGTAAACTACAGTATTAACATTTTTCATTATGTAGCTGGTTAACCCATACACCTGACCTACAGTATAGTGTAACAAAAAATAGTTTTTACTTTACTTTTGACCATTGTTCTGATTGTCAAATGATTCAAGCCAAAAATGCGGCTAATCTATGTAAACATTTCTCCTTTCTCTGAATGATTTATTGCCCATTTTCATCCCTAATGTTATCACAAACAACACACCTATACTTGTCAGCCAAGGCTAAGGACAATTTATACCTCACTTTGCACGCTCTGGGTGTGTCACTTCCCATAGGGTTTGCATTTTGACAGTACGTACCTGATGATTACTGCAAAGTATGTACTTATTTTTTACTTGTGTGCCCACCTTTAAACCTTACACTTTCTATGTTACAGGGACTTCTCCTGAGGCTTTCAGGGTTTATGCATCTCTGCAACACCCACACAGCCAGTGTGTCTTTGGTTTGAATATTTTATATTTATATGTTTTATTGTTATTCAAATGGTATACCAACAACAATCATAATTTTGGGCTCAAACATAGTAACTGAGGTTGGAAAGGTAATTATCGAGTAATTTTTAACAAACAACAGCATTGTATTTAGGCAAGTCTTCCTTTTCCACTGCCAGAAAAGAAAATTAATACAGTACAGTATAGAAAAAAAAGAAAACCCGATTTTTTTAAAGTAATAACTACCACCACCACAAGAAGTATCAAAAAATGATAAATATTTCATAATGACCATGCATGGAACTTTATCTTGATTATCATATAAAGGTAGAGCAAAAAAAAAAGGGGGGGGGAGGAATACTTTACTAGATACTGTACATTAAAGCATTTCCGTTGAAAAAAATATTATTATTTTTTCAATTTCACTTTAAATAAATGAAATTGTGGGATAAAAACTTGCAAAAAAATTACGAAACCAAACCTAATGACTCAAATATCAGTACAGTACCTAACCTAACCAAAGAAAACAGAAGAACCTGACCTAAACTCCTAACCTAACCCAACAAGACAAAAGAAAAACAAAAGAACCTAAAAAAAACAAGCATGATATAGAAAAGTAAAACAAAACTCAAAATAATGTATAAGTTTCAAAAGAAAATGCAATTCAGCGCATCTACACGAGTATCACGTAACATGACATTTCTGCTGATTGCCGAGTAAGAGGTACAGTAAACAACGTATATCCCTGTGAACTAAAAGAGGCCTCCCCATATTGAAAGGGTTAAGAAAGTACAATTTTGCAGGGATAAATATTGTTTCTTAACCCTTTCAATATGGGGAAGTCTCTTTTAATATCTTATTTGGCAAAGGCTACACGATTTTGTTCAGAACAGACACCCCTCAACACAAGGGGTTAAGTGAAATAGAAAAGTGAAAATAACTCGAACTATAAATTTCCAACAAACACTATACGGTATACTTTTCTTCAATGGCATTTACGGCACAAATTACATACAGGGTATAAGCGAGATATTTAAAACTTTATTATGTATGTGGAGGTACACACCCAGAACATCCGACGACTGTGGAACCCCCCAGTCAGGTTAGGTTAGTTTTGGTTGGTTAGGTTAGATTCAAAAGTGTTTTTCCGATGGTTTTGATGTATTTTGAACCCTTTTAACCTTGATTTTTATAGCAAATCTGAGATGGGAGGGGGCAGTGCTTATCTCAGACACTATTGATTTGCGCCAGAAATGAAGTTTAAATTCGTTCATAACAAATCAAAAACCATCGGAAAAACATAATTTCAACTTCGATTTCGTTTAGTGGCAACAAGTGAAAATATACCCAAAACTGTCATTGAGGTCTGGTGATGTCTAGCATTTCTGATTTCCCCATTTAATTTTAAATGAAAATCAATTTAACTTTTAAAACAAGCAAAAATTACCAACTTAAATAAAACTTACTTATCCTAAGTACTACACTAGTTAAATTAAGAAGGATTAAGTGAGGTTTGTTTGGTTTGTTTTGCCTGATTTTGAAGAAGTCCCAGATACCAAAACCGCTATGGCAGACAGGCTCAATAACGTCCTGTACAATTACTCCCAACATTTCCTATAAACATTATAAATTCACAACAAAATCGTTAGGCTCACAGGAATAAAGACAAATCTGTTGTCATTCTCCCGGTCTGTCATACCTTTGCATGTCACCAGTTCAATCGGTTATATATGTATATATTTAATGTATACCCTCATATGTTCAATAAACATTAAAGTATTCCAAATTATTTACTTACCATTGTGATTTGGTGCTTAGAAAATGGATTTTACAGGCAATATTATGATCCACCACCCAGTGCAGTCTTTCGACGTGTCAACTAACTCGCGCATGCGCCGTGGCTGTCACTCACACCAGTCCTTTAACAACGAACCTAACAAACTTTCCTAGCCTGATAATTTACTTTTTATTTTTACTTTATTTTTATAATCTTCACCACTGATCGGCTCGTTAGCTGTTTGGGCGGTCGGTAAATATTTAAACTGAGTAGCTAGATTCGATATTTATTCTATGAAATTATCATAGAAGTTCACATTGGTCTTGTACATGTGTACAATGTGTAAACTACAGCTATATATTTTGCATAGTGTAGGTATACAATGTGCATGGTGCAGGTGCAGATTTTCTTTAATTTTGCCATTGTGACGGGGAAAGGAAACCGGTGGCTTGTTTAATTCAGTCCTGAATTATCTGTATTATCCACCAATGAATCCTGGACTATAGAAATGATTCACCAATTCCAATTATTTTAAGGTAGAACAATGAGCTGTTTGTTGCATTTAATCATAAACTTGTATGTATAAAGTTAATTTTTTTTAGATATATTGACAGACTTATATACCCAACCCCACAAAGGACTCCAGTGGATAAAAGGTTACAAAGTAAGAGCTGTCTTGAGCTATCCTTGATAAAATCAACCTTTTACTTTTTTACTTTTATCCTCTTCGCCACTGATCGGCTTGTTAGCCGCTTGGGCGATCGGTCACGACTCTTTTCCTTTATATTCTTCACCAAAAGGTCGGCTCGCTAGCCGCCCGGGCGATCGGTCACGTCTCTGTCACGCACTGTTGGCAAATACTGGGCATGCACCGGCTCCTGAATGTACCTGAACCCGCTCCAGTGTTGGTCAAGTCTTCTCTTGAAAGAGCTCACACTCGGTGCCGTCACAACACTTTCTGGTAGATTGTTCCAAGAGTTTACAACCCTCACTCCGAAAAAGTTTGCCCTCACGGTTTTCCGGACTTGCGGCTTCTTCAATCTTGAGCTGTGACCCCTTGTGGGGCGAGCGTCCGCCAGCTCCAAGTAAGGACACTCAACTGAGTAGTGCCCCCTGAGATGCTTATAAACCTCAACTAGGTCCCCCCTTGCCCGTCTGTAGTATAAGCTAGGCAAGTTCAGGCGCTCCAATCTCGCAGGGTAGCTGAGATGCCGAAGTGCAGGCACCAGCTTGGTGGCCCTCCTTTGAACATTTTCAACCAACTGACAGTCCCTAGCATATCTCGGGGACCAGATGGGGTGACAGTACTCCAGATGGGGAAGCACTTCACTCCTGAAGATCGTCACGAGGGACGGACCGTCTAGATATCTGAACGACCTTCTTATAAGACCCAATAATTTATTTGCCTGATTTACCTTCTTCTCACAATGGCCCGAGAACTTCAGCTCATTGTCAACATACACACCTAGGTCCTTCTCACACACAGTCTCAACTAGTACATTTTCTTCATCCCGTTGGGACATATGGTACGCCTCCTTACCGTTGGTACGCCCCAGGTGCATCCTCTTACACTTCGTGACATTGAATCTCAGCAGCCATTCCTTCGACCATTCCTGGAGCCCACAGAGGTCCTTCTGCAGCTCTTCACAGTCCGCTTGGTTCTTAATTTCCCGAAATAACTTGGCGTCATCGGCAAACATTTGTATGGAGGAGTGTACAACGTCAGGCATATCATTTATGAAACAAACAAACAACAGCGGGCCCAATACACTACCCTGCGGTACCCCACTTGTTACAGGTACAGATGACGATTTCGTGCCATTAATCACCACACATTGCTTGCGGTCATGTAGAAAGTCTTCTATCCACGCTAGGACATTTCCCCGAATTCCGTACCCTTCCAGTTTGATTTTCAGCCTTTCGTGGGGTACACTGTCGAAAGCCTTGGCAAAATCTAGGTAAATATTGTCGATATTACCACCCCGTTCTAGAATATGGGTCCAAATATCCAATACCTTGAGCAATTGTGTCAAGCAAGAGCGCCCCGGCATAAAACCGTGTTGGCAATCTTTTACAAGGTTGTTTCGTAGTAGATGTTCCATCGCTGCATCTCTGATAATACTCTCAAGTACTTTACATATTATGCTGGTCAGGCTCACCGGTCTATAGTTGTTCGTGGAGTGCCTATCGCCCTTCTTGAAGATAGGACTCACATAAGCCACTTTCCATTCACTGGGGACCATTTGTTCATCCAGGCATTTACAAAACAGAATCTTCAGGGGCTCTGCAAGCTCGTTGCACAGCTCCCTTAGCACTCTAGGATGCACCATGTCAGGTCCAGGACTCTTATGGACCTTTAGCCTGGACAGTTTATTTCTAATACCCTCTTCTGTGAACACAATGTGGGTCAGTGCTGTGTCGAACCGTCTGTCCTCAAACGCAGGAAGGTTAGTTGCATCCTCTCTTGTGAACACTGAGGAAAAGAAGCTGTTCAATGCCTCAGCTTTATCCTGGTCAGAATCTGCGTAACTACCATCTTCAAGCCTCAGGTCTGATACTCCTACTCGCGTTTTCAATTTCGACTTTGCATAGCGGTAAAACGCCTTTGGGTTTGACTTGACCTCGCGTGCAACCAGCCTTTGGAACTCCTTTTCAGCCCTCCTACACTCTATCTTTGCTTGGTTTCTGGCTCTTGCATACATCCTCCTGTCTTGCTCATCGTTTGACCCAACCCACGTCTTGAATTTCTGGGTTTTCTTCTTAATTTTGTCGACCGCCGCATGGTTCATGTGTAGGGATCCCCTCGTATTCCTAGAAGCACTGGGTTTGGTCTTGGGTATATATTTATCGATCAAATGGGTCATTTTACTAGTTATGATATTCAGCGTAGTGTCTGCGTTCTTGTACCTTAATAAGTCAGGCCAGTTGATACCCCTCATCTCTTCCCTCATCCCATTGTAATTTCCCTTGTAATATTTGCACCTTGGCCTGGCCTTATCTTGAACTAGGTAACAGTTAACCTACTGTTAACATTGTTTGCATACCTGCACTCTGTATGAATTCATGCTGAATTGTATGCCTGCATTGTCTTCTGTATAGTATATACAGTACAGTACAGGGTGAATCAATGCAAACTTGTATGACGACTTTACTTGATATCTATCTTTCTATCTTCATGCACAGTATTTAGTTGTGTTATGCTTTAAAAACATACCGGACCTGACTTGGTAGTAGTTATTATGGTTTCATCCCATGAACTATCAATATTAATTGGAAGCACAGGTAAATGAGTACAGTATTCGGAATTATTGCTATTTCATAAGTGTTACACTTATCAGTGTTTCATGTAGATCCACAATGAAAAGGTGGATAAGATAAATCTTGATAAAATCACACAGCTCTTCCTTTCAAAAAACAACAAATGACAGACCCTTCTGTATTAAATCAAATGTTATCATACTATCATTAGTGCCAATGGTTCACCAGTGGTTCATGAGCCCTCACCGCTCCCTGGCAGGTATAAACAAGTATGAAATGCTCCTCAGAACAAGATGTTTGAATTCCTAACGAAATATTCACAAAGTGTTTTGTATGTATGACACCTATCATAGAAAAGGTAAGTTTAACTCTATATTTTAGTTACTGATACCGGATTCGTTTATGAATCAACAGAGTGCTAATTGAAGCTGACAATAGATGAGTTTGTTCTGTTGTGTCACACCAGCTGACGAAGATAACACCCACTTGACAACGTGACTCCTGAGAAGACTCAGAATAGAAGTCGTATCCTATATAAACCAATACACCACCATTATGGTCCAGAAAATCGAAGTTGAAGGCTTCGAAGCCTTTGTGGAACAAGTGGAAACCTTCAAGTCTTCCGGAAAACCCATTTTTGTTCTGTTTTCCGGCTCTAAGGACTCCAATGGGAAGAGCTGGTGCCCTGACTGTGTGGTGGCGGAGCCTGTGGTCAAGGGAGCTCTGGACAAGGCCCCTCAAGATGCTGTTTTCATCTACGTGGGTGTGGGTGACCGTGCTTTCTGGAAGGACAAGAATTGTGTATTCCGTACTGACAGCCGCACCAAACTGAAGTCTGTGCCAACCCTTATGAAGTATGGAACTTCACAGAGGCTGGCGGAGGAGCAGTGTGCCAAAGATGACTTGGTAGAGATGCTCTTTGACGATGCTTAGTATTAGTGTCTTCAGAAGTATGTGAGGATGCTACTTATTAGTTTCACTGAACTCTCATTAGTAATTGTGTTAGACTGTAACACTGCTTTTCCTTCATGTCACTTGTGGTATAAACTTTTAAAACAGCTTAAATGAACCAACCAAGCCTAACATAACCTCTCTGACCTTACCAGAATTTAACTATTCTTTGGTCGTGTCGTGTAGATCAGATAAGGGTTGGGTTGTTTGCTTAAAAAAAGAGAAACCATAGTTCAATATTATTATGTAAACTTAATGAGTAGAACTTTCCTGTGTACTGTGCTCTTGCTTTACACCAGTTGCTTGGAATAGATTATCAAAGATTGAGTTACCTGATACTTAAATTGAAATTATACTCGGTTTTGTTTCTGTTGGAATTAAGTTAATTTATTTAAGTTTTTATTTTGATACAAAATTATGACTTTTGCTGAATGCCAAGAACTTTGGAAATGTACCGTATTTTGCATTATGGATATGTATGCCATGAAACAATCTGTTTCCAGTTGACTAACTTCTTATTTCTATCATGTGTACTAAACCATGTTTATATACAGCTAGTGAAAGTTACAAAATCAACATGTATAAAACATTACATTAATTTTTTTGTGAAACTACAGTGTACAGTACTGGGAAAAAGTACAAGTCGAAAGGTTTTCATGTAAAGTTAATTAGAGTCAGAGTACCAAACGAGATGAATTACTACCTTATGCATTAATTACTCTTATACCTGTACTGTACTGTAGTGTAGTTATAAACTTCTGCTCCATACAAATATTATAGTACAGTACAGTGATAACGACAGTTACCCAGCTGTGACAAATTACCTTTATGATGTCTGTGATCCTAGGTTGCTTAAGAAATTTAAACCACAGTTAGTTTAATTACTGTATCTCCATATTATAAGATATTTACTTAGTGTACTCGGCAAGCCCAAAGTGAACTGGAGAATCTTAACCACACATTATTAATTATTGTAGTTTCAGTTGTGGGAAATACTGAACTGAACAAACATGAACATGACAGTTTTACACTGTAACTAATTTTCAGGATATACATAGCAATTTTATACAGTAATACTATACTATCGACATTATCATGATGATGTAAAAAGTTATACTACCTCTTTTAGCTCATCATAAGATGTAAGAACTGTCCTCCAAATAGTTTTTCTTTACAGTATAACTTTACTTGGTCACAACAAGAACATTTTAATGAACTTAATTATCAGTATATTGTTGTATGTAATTCAACTTTCCATAAACGTAATTTTTTGGTTTTTGAATACTGTACAGGATACCTTGTACTGTACAGCATTATACATGTACGTACAGTAATGTGATTTAGAAGTTTGTTGTGGTTTTTACTATACATTACATATGCTTAATGTTAATCACTGCCAAATTAAGGTCCCCATGATTTTAATTATATTACTGTACTGTATTTTATATCATATTACCATATAAAATAAACTATTAATCATACTAGTGTATTGATAATCCTCAACTAAGTACTGTACAGTATACCCTATACATGAATAAAAATGTAAAGCTGTAAAAGTAGGGCACTGGCCTATTACTCTCTTATATTCTTTCATCTGGGATTGAACAACTCAATTAACAGAACACCTATACTGTAGACTGATTCCCGGGGATCAAATTTTGGATGGGGTTCAAAATTTACGCAGGGTCCACTGCAGCTAGAGGTGGTCATGTTGAGGGAGAGAGGCTAGTGTAGTATTCTCCCATTGCTCTTGATAGTCTTATTAAGGGCTACTTTGCAGCTCAGTACTACTTTTGCTTTTACCCTTTGCATGAAAAAGTACAGGCAGTCAACGAGTTACGACCGTCTGACATATGATCATCCGCACTTATGAACTGGATCCCAATACATTCATTGCACAAATTTTTAATTCAAGTCACATTTCTTACATTAATTTCATTATTCTGTATTATTTAACATTATTTTATTTACAGTAATTACAATATTTGTCATGTATGGGCAGGATTATGCTTTAACCTAACCTAAACTGGAATTAACACTATTCTGATTTATAAACAAATTGACTTATGATCAGGGTCCAGGAACATATCCCTGTCATAAGTTGGGGATTGCCTGTAATTATCTTATATGACACCTTGGTGAGTACTGTACATGTTATCATAAAACAAATATTGGGGTTTCTGTCTTCCATCATTTTCAAGATTGTGAATGTCTCTGAGATCCACCCTATTGTGTCTTGTTTGAAGAGTTGTCACTCCTAAGGTTCAATATTGCACCTTTTCTGGAGATGTTATGTCTTTCTGGAGGTACAGTATGACCTGTACAGTATACAGTGGTCTGGATAGGGATGTACGAAAGACTTGTAAAATTGAAGAAAATTTATTTTGTCTAACTGTGCAGATATCTCATTTTATGTAAGGATTCTGTTCCAGAAAACAGGTATCCCTCAATTTATGATTGTTGTTTTTTTTTTTTGGGTGTGGGGGAATAGAACCCTCATGAAAATAGTGGTATGCCTGTACAGATAAGAAAAAGCTCCTTCAATTTTACAAGTACTGTACTGTACTGTACAGGCATGGAGACCATACTACCAGAAAAACGTAACATTCTTAGAAAAAGGTGCAACTGATTTAAGGTGTGTACTGAGGCTATATAATCCTAAGTTACCTTTGGCTTTTTTGTTACTCCCAATTGTGGGAACTTTGGCGAATGGAATAAGCATTGTACTGAGTTGTAATTCAGGGACAACATGTCAACAATTGTCTTTTCTTCATTATGATTATGTAAGATACCTCTGTTGTTTGTTGCATGCTTCTCAAGGCAGTTTAGGGGATGCAGCAGCCCTTGCATCATGAGCATTGGTTGAAGGTTGATGGCCCATACACAGCCTCTGACTTCCCCAAAAGGCTGGGCACATACCAGTAATGACATGAAGATGTGATTGGTCTAATTAGCGCCAAGTGTGGGTCCTACTCCACAGCCACATCTCTCTTTCTTCTCTCCCACAACTAGTATACTGTACACTGAGCCTTACATGCTCTATTATATACACAGGTCTTGACCATTATAGTGCTTTAGTTCATCCTCTTCTACAGTCTATGGAGATATTTGTTATCACCAAAAAAAATTTTTTACCAACAGTTTAAGTTATCACTACAGTATTACTGTATTTGCATCACCTCATATAATAGTACTGTATATATATGGAATGAGTCCCGAATAGATTGCAATGCTTGGGATCAAGCCCATAGTCCCCCTTCCCTCTTTTGGCCATCGTGAACAGTTTTTAGACCGTCACACTATACCTACTGTCTTAAAGTATGCACCAGGTGGAGTGTAAGGTTAAATTCCTCTACAGTGATATACCAGTCATGATATAGTTTCTTAGTACAGTAGTTACATGTTCTGTAAATGGCAAGATTTTTTTTCAGTAAAACTTGGTTTACTGTTCAGGCGTCCTTCGACTTACGTAAGAATTCTGTTCCCAAAAAACATTTTGGGGGTTGATTTACAAATAGTTTTCAGGAATGGAACTCTTACATAGATTAAGGGATGGCTGTATTTCCTATGTGCATGTATGTGTGGTCTACAGTGAAATAATTTTGTTGTAATAACGACTTAATTTTATATTAAAATATTACTGTAGAACTTATATATTTGTGCCATCATTATTACAAAATATTCCTAAGTACAGTATTCTGAAGTGCAGAATACAGTGATTACTGTATTGAGTTTTATTGTAACTCATCAATTTTCATTAATTGTTATGATAGTTTTGGGGTACAGAAATTACCCTTGGCTTCTCTTGTTATGTAAGATTTAATTTCCTTTCCTATGTCAGGATTTTTTTTCCTTTAATGGTACAGTACTGTATCTTTATTTCCAATTTGTAAAATAGTTTTGTATTTTTCTTGTCCTTCACAGAAGTAACATATGGTGATAATCCAGCTCATCTGCCCTTGAGGTTTTCTGTGATGGGAGCAACATAGAGGTACAGCTTTAGCCCTTTTATTATATACAGTACTGTCGATGCTTTTACCTGAAAATTAAATTCTTTTCTCTTGCCTTGTTTTAATTTAACAACAATCACATATGTCTAAAGTCCTGGTGTGGGTCTTCAACCTTGTAGTTTGTCTTAGTTCAGATAGTAACTGGGACATAAGGATCAGTCCTCTATTTTTTGTAATCATTAAATGTTTTTCAGATGATAACACAAGAAAGAAAATAGTTTAGGTTAGTTTCAAGTACAACAAGTAAGATGAGAGTGACAGGGCTCATCCCAGCACGCTTTCTAACACTGACATCACACCTTGTGCTTCTGATCAGTGTATTACTGGCTCGGGTAAGCATCGGTCTGTTTTTTTTTTTTTTTTTTATAACAGGGTTCAGATTGAAAGATTGGCTGGGTTCTCAAATTTCATGTTGGATACTGGCTCTGTTACAATTATTTTTTTTTTTTTGAAGGGGCCCATTTTGTTTTATTACAAGCACAGCAGTGTACCTCTAAAGACCTATGCTGTACGTAGTATTTACAGGTGCAGTACAGCATATAATATATCTGGTGTGTAATACTGTAGTCAAAGATAATTCAAAAGTATGATAACCAAACTTAAATGCAAAAATTTTTGGCACTTGTTTCATATGAGCCTACTAGAATCTAATCTTGCCTGTGTAAAACTGCAAGTGCAACAGTATCTTCAGAAGTGATTTTACTCCCATTATTCTTTATTAAAATATAAAATTAATAAAAAGATTTTATGTAGTGTTCCATAAGATTTGGATAGACATATGGATGCTTGTTATTATCTTGCAGGAAGAAAATGTCCTTGCCTGCTTGCCGGTGGACTACACAGAGATGGAGTACAGGAGGCGTGATGGAGAGTGAGTACTGTACTGTATCATGGTTTTATTCACCTGTGAAAGCGAGAAATACAACAGGTAATATGAGTTGAACCAAGTCATTTAGCCTTTAGCCTTCTTCCACCTGTTACTTTCTTACCTCTGAATGGGACCCACACAAAACCAGCTCCAGTCCATTTGACCCAAACATTCGAGGAGACAAAGGCACTTCATTAGTCTCTTATTTAGTAATATCAGTTGTTTCTCTCACTTGCAACATTAATTCCTATGCCCAGTATATTGGTAATGTGAAATATAGTTACTCAATCATTTATTAATATTTTTTCTTTTTGAATTGAGATTTTCAGCTACAGTTGGGTCTTCATTTACGCGGTCAATTGAACCCGCAGAGCACCGCGTAAAACAAGAAACGTGTAAATGAAATAACAGAACATATGGGATTAATTGAAATAGAGACTGGACCGACCCCAAACTCCACTTTTTCCGACACAATACCTACGTTGTAGTAAAAAGAGTATCTTAACTTTATGATGGTATGCACACACACATAATATAGAAGAGAAATATCAATAAGAGAATAATATACTGTACCAGGTAAAAGAAAAATCAGGGTTTAACACTTACATTAGGTTAGGTTCGAAAAAATCAAGTTTAGGTTAGGTTTAACACTTACGTTAATAGAAGAGATGGGTCGGCATACGTTGATGGGGGCTGATTCCGAGGCAGAGGGCAGATTACTGGCCCTCAGGTGAATCACCATCATTATCCACCATAGTTGTCAGGGCCTCCCTGACAAATCCCTCATAGTCCGAGGCATTGGTGGTAAACAGGACGGTGATGCGCTCCTTCTGCAACTTCCGGCCCCGACACTTGCTGGCAGACTTGACAATGAAGGTCTTGGAAGGTAGCTTTTTTCAAAACAGACTGGATTCATCCATGTTGAACACCTGGTCGTCGGTGTACTGTCCTTCCTCCATAACCTCACGTAAGAATGGAGGAAAATCACTAGCTGCAACACGGTCAGCACTCGCTCCTTCACCACCAATGTTAATGTTGGTGATCTTGTTCCTCTTAAACCCTTGCAGCCACCCAGGGGAAGCATTGAAGGGTTTGGGCTCTGCAATTCCCATCTTACGTGCCACTGCTACGTACAGTTCACGTGCGTACTCATGAACCGACCGCGTGTCCACCGCCATGTTCCGTCTTGCCCGACGAATCAAGTAGCTCACAAGTAAATTCTCCGTCTTGAGCAGCACCTTGTTCTGGCAGTACTTCACCATTGAAGCACCTGCAGACTTTGTGATATTAATGTGTTCTTTTATCTTGGCTGCATCCTTCTTGATCGTCCTGATCTTAGATTCGTTCATGCCATGCTGGCGCGCCAAATCAATTTGTCTCGTTCCTTTTTCTAAATCTTGTATGATCTTGTACTTAACTTCGTAACTTAGGGAACGTCGTATCTTCTTTGGCTTAGGGCGACTGGGTCCAGGTAATGCAAGGTTTTTCTGTGGTGGTGGGGGTCCAGTGGAAGCCATTCTTACAAGATTAGCGGGCACAATAGAACACAGTTTACACGGAGTGACTAGGTGGAGAGCAACTGACGCGGCTAGGTCAGCGGCTTCTTCCCTCCCATGGCAGGGCACGTCATGTTACATTAAACCAATCACAGCTAGCGGGGGAGGGAGGTAAGGATGCTTGGCCCAATCACAGTCCAATACTTCATATGACGTCACCGATAAAGCAACACCAACATACTGCGCAACCTTACTCGCGCCGCTTACCCAAGCATGGCGGGAGGTTTGAATAAAAAAATGGCGCGGCTGGACCGCCAGATGCTCTCCGCGTAAATGACCAAATTTACCGCGTAAATCAAACATTTCAATTCTGGCAAGGCACCGCGTAAATGACCAAACGCGTAAACCAAAACCGCGTAAATCCAGACTCGACTGTATTGAGAATTTGGGTCCATGAATTAAGTTGAAGCAAATCATTGCAGTTGAACGTTCTGCTTCACAAACTCCAGCCGACTGGGCAAGTGGCTGCTCGGCACTAATTTGTACTGAGTATTAATAATTGTCATTAAATATGTGATATAAAATTTAATGCAAGTTATTTCTTACAGATTTCTTGGGGGATTAATCGCTGGTGTTGCACTGATAGCCCTCGAGTTTATTGGCTTCATCACAGGAGTTTCAATGTTCACCGGTTTAGCCTCCCTTGTGTGTATCCTTTAATAACCAAAAATTTTTATTCATAGCCTGACAATTAAGTTTGCGAACTCATGCTACAGGCACCAGTACGTACCTTATTGAGGATCGGTGCTGTGGTTCCCTTCAAAGTATTCCCCTTGTGATGCTATACACAAATACCAGCCCTTCGTGCTACTCTGAATGTCATCCACGTCTTAAAAATGTGTCTCCTTGGTGTGTTTCTTCCATGAAAGAAATAGAAAAAAGTCACACAGGGTCAGATCAGGTGAAGAAGGAGGGTGTTCCAGTAAGGTAATTTGTTTCTCGGCCTAAAACTCCCGCACAATCAGTGCCTTGAGTGCTGAGGCATTGTCATGATGCAAGTTCCACTTATTTCCAGCAAAAAGTTCTGGATTTTTTCATCTAACCTTTTCTCTTGAGTCTTTTAAGCATGTCGATATAGTAAAACTGGCTCACACCCTTTTCTCATTTTCAAATTTACAATGCTTCTCACCGTCATTTGCCTGTTAGCTCGCACAACTTTCCTAATTTTTTAAATGTTTTCCTCAGTCTTGCTGGTTGTTGGTCGTCCTTCTCTGTCATCGTCTGTCACGTCTTCTCTTCCCTTAGAAAATAGCTTAATCCACTTGTAAACTGATGTTTTCTTTAGTGCATTATCCCCATGATCTAGGGTTAACATGTCCCAAATTTCAGGCCCAGTTTTCCCAAATTTGACGAGAAATTTGAGGTTCGTTCTTTGTTCTAAAAAAATTATGTCATTATATCGACAAAACCAGAAAACACTCTAATACAATAGCTGCCACTGCACACGTCTGTCTCGTTTGATACCAACGACACAACTGGGGTAGTAAGAGAAGGGATCAAGGTCACACGCACGCCACTCACACTCGTTATAGTGCTGCCGCCTCATGAGCCAAGCGGCGAGTTCGCAAACTTAATTGTCAGACCTCATATAAGACCATAGTTACTGTCCTAGAGAAGGTAGCCACAGACACTATAGAGATGCCAATATAGTACTATATTAATGGAGTAACGAAGATTTTTTTTATCTCATAATAGGAAAACAATATGAGAAGTATTAGTGTACACAGGTATATTTTATAATAATTCTTCTAATACTTTCTCAGTCCAATTTTACCAATCAGTCATTTCATGCTAATTACAAATCAGGTCATCTAGGTTATTTTTAATAAGTTCAGGTTATCCATGATAATAACGCCAACTCCTGAAAACCTAGGGACTCTCATAACAGTTTTGTGAGCTTCATTACACGCTTTTTTGTTTATTTATTTACTTATTTATGTCTTGCATGATGAAATGGAGGTGGGAGATGCACATGACAGCAGTGACACAAAGTGTTGTAGGTAACTAATTTAACTTATGATTTTGACATTGTAATGAGTAAGTACAGTAATTGTGTGTTTCTCTGTTTCAAATGTTTAAGATTATTTAAGAAAAGATAATTGTACAGAGAAGGGATAAAGGTACAGTATACTCTAGCTTTCACTAAATAAGATAGAAGAGTCATTGAGTTATGGGGCACGGTTCTCTGTGCATTACCTGACATTTACTATCCTTGGATCTCCAGGAGATGAATACCATTTATAAATTATAAAACTCATATCTAGGATTTATGTAACTGTAGGCCTAATGGGTTAGATAAGTAGCCTATTTTGAGAACACTTTTTCTGGGAACTAATTTAAGTTTTTTATAGCTTAGGCACATCCTTTGAGCAAACTGATGCTCCTAATTGGCACCATTTAGGGTCCCGTGTTTGCTGTAGGGAAGAAGTAACAGATTCGAGAATTATTCTCAGGATTGGTTAGCTAAATACTGTAGACATTTCAATTTAGTTTTTCATGTCTAACGTCCCAATCCTGTGTGTTTATCTTTCTAGACCATAAATGGAGTTGCTTGATCTGTGTTCATTTATAAATGGTATTTCAGGATATTTTCTTTTTCTGTTTGGCAAAAAATCCTTAATCATATTCAGCTATTGCTTGTCATAGTGGTGCTTCCATCAGCTTAGCCTATATGGTGATGGACTCCTGGGACTGTAGACTGTACTGGTGGGTCTTCTCCTTGGCATCTGTATGTCCAGCCATCATTGAGATAGGGATCATGATCAATGTACTAATGCTGAAGAAAAATGTGTGAAAACTTCTCTACATTACATCCTCATTTTCCAAAAAAGATCTCAGTATTTTTTATCTGGTATGATTGTCCTCACTTAAGAGTATGATTGTCCTCACTTAAGAGTCTGATTGTCCTCACTTAAGAGTTTGATTGTCCTCATTTGAGAGTGAAATATAAAATTTTTGTATTGTAAGTATGGATGAGAGTAGAGATAAACTAATAGAACTTATAATAAAAAAGAAAAAGATTTGTTCCTGTATTATTATATTTCTTTTAGTATAGCAGAAAGCATCATACAGTATTAGATTGTTTGAAAGTTTAACTTGCTAAGATGATTTGGCAGATATTTTGTCAATTGTATTTAAATTCACTATGTGAGGTTATATGGATATAAAAAGTATCAAATCCGCTTGAGTAATGAACAAGATGCTCAGCTTTGATTTAGGTTAGTAAGCTCCTTCATCCTTTTATAGTGTGCCTTGGTTTCTTCCTTGTACAGTTGTGGAAATGTGTTCCTCCACCCCCCGTTGGTAATCCATGTCTCCAAACGGCCAACCTACTGTATAGCAAACCTATCCACCAATCACGTTCGTCGTTACACGACCAATACCCATTTATTCATAAAAAGTGATATTACAACTGCGACATTACCGTTTGGAGACGTGGGTTACCACAAGGGGTGTAGGAACCCATTTCCGCAGCTGTACACTTAACAATGAAATGAGTGTGCTGCCAACAGTGGAACAACCATTCATTAGACAACTATTCTGCTAAGGAGGTGGAATAACCCACTACTGAATATGGAGACGCCATCAAAATATGAAAAGACTTTCTATATTGAACAAATAAATAAATACTGTATAACCAGGATAGCTCATGCAAGAGTTGTCTCTGACCACTCCATATTGTGTGGCATAAGAGAATCAAAACCCCTGCAAAGATTGTCTTCATATCCACATTATCACCATTCTTTCAACATCAGGCAATTCAAATTTCTAATGTGACATTAAGCAATTCCTCGCCTAATGTCACCATTAGATAATTTTTCATGTTATGCGTGACATGCAGTATACAAATACAGTACAGTACAGTACAATATATGCATTCATTGAACTGGATACCTGTATTGTGTACAGTATCTCAATAAAGAATCTGTCCACACTGTGTGAAACATTATGAAACCACAGATGATAAATATTGGGACATGGATTTACTTTGGTATATAGTTTAACATAAGTAATGCAATGTGTATTTATTTCAGCATAAATAATTTGATGTTTGGTTCCCAAATGTTATAGGATCAGTATACCACAGAACCACACATACCAACCCTCCTGGGACATCACAAGTTGCATGTAGCATTTGAAAGTCATCGGACCCATCCTAGCAGATACTCTTTTGAGGTACTTTACACTATCATAAGGCATATACAGTACAGTATTTTTTAAGAAAAAGTTAACATCATTCGAAGCACCAGACTATGATTGGTGAATTATCAGTTGGGTATAGATGAGTACTTAATGATGTCATGGTTCACCAACACGAGAGGACACAACTTCAAGCTCACCAAGGTGTCATACAGGATGAATGAGAAAATAATTCTTTATACACAGGGTGGTAGACCTGTGGAAGTCTACCAACACAACTTGTGGAAGTGAGAACAGTTCCCCAATCTTGGCCACCTCTAGGTGAGGTGGTCATTAGGTATATTACCAGTAGATAGGTAAGAGAAGGGGAAGAAAATATTTAAAAAACAAGTGCAGGGCTCTGAAAGGACAGTTACTGGATACCTCCACCATGACTAGCCTCCTTATCTCACTAAACCACCCCTCCTCCCATGATGTTAACACAACACATTTATGAACATACAGAAGTAGGCAGCTATCAAACAGAGAGGTACTACTGCCTGGGAAGATATTGGAAGCATAATGTGTTGTCTAACAGTAGACCCTGCTTCCATATGGCATCACAAAAATTGTGACCAAGTCCCAGGTTGCTGGTCTGACTTACGTACTGCCTCACCTACACAATTGCAGGGTTTCATTTATTTCCCTTACTTTGACAACACAACATACATATATCGTTTCTCAATATTGATCTTTGTTTTTTATTGTTGTAATTATTTATGGTTATATTTTAGTTTTTATAATTTTGTAATAAATTTTGATTTAATATTATTATTATTATTATTATATTTTCGCCCCCATGCCCTGATGTTGGTCATTGACCTGTGCCCGGGTGGCTAATCCCATAAAAACAGGAATAAAGAATAGTAAAAATCATCATTACCCCAGCATCAGACACGAAGGTCTCTGAATCTTTGGGTTCATGAAAGGCAGGTTAGGCGACAGGATTTTGGTTGATGAGTGTACAAACTGTACTAGTTTTTGAATGTGCACTGTGGCAGCACTTGTGAAGTACCTTTTTTATCTATTTATTGGGTGTTATTTTTAGCCTTGATTGCAAGTACATTTCCTAATATGAAGACTGCAACAGCAATATTCCTACCACTGGTTTCAGACTGAGGCTGAACGTTCTTTTTTATACATAGGTAGAATTAAGAACTGTATGGAGTCATACCCAGTGGCATACCCAGAAATATGCAAAGGGGGGAGGGGGACGAAGTTTGAACCAAGCATACCGAGGTACAGTATTGTGGAAATGCAAGATAATTAATATTTTTCTGTACATTCATAATGAGCTTACTGCTCACTTGGTGATGTTATTTATTTAATTATAGTTATTATTTTTCTTGACTTACTGTTAAAAATGGTTTATTTGGAATAATTTATTAGCTCAACGGAGGGGGCAATCGCCCTCATAGCCCCCCCCCCCCTTTGGTATATGTCTGGTCATGCCTCTCAGAAAAAAGTTGAGCAAACTTTGTATCCTGTTAACAGAATTTGATCTCACACGATCAGGGGCGGATCCAGAAATATATAAAAGGGAAGGGGGTCCAAGAAGTTTTGAGTGGCCTCATCCAGATTTTTTTTTTTTAAATCTGACCAATATTATGGGCATTTTGAGGCCATTTTGAAGCCATATACACTTGATATTAGGAGATAGTCTGAGGTAAATAGTAATTACTTTTTACTATAAAAAAATACACGAGTACAATACAGCATTAAAGAAAAAGTATTGGAATTTCTGATGAAAAGTGGGGGGTGGGGGTGTCCGGACCCGCAAGACCCCCTGCATCCGCCCTTGACCATTATTAGCTTTCAAAGAAATTTGGGAACTTTGCTGAATAAAAGTCACGAAAAAAACTGTAATCGAGGAATCAATTTTTGCATGGTACTGTATTTTGATTTCATTGTCGATAAATTTGCAAACCATTTTAAGTGATTTCTATGAAAATCTGAGTTGCTATGAATAATACTATTATCAGATATGTTAGGTGTATTTAATTTTTGTCAGACAGTATTAGACTAGAACATAACTAAAAAAAATGCCCCTAGAAAAGAAACACCAAGCTTAATTTTCTAAGACTTCCTAAATTATGATTACTGTATTATGGATAGGCCTACAAAAGTTTGCAGATGTATTGTCGTTATGCTTATTGTGCACTGGACCAGTACAACATCTGTAGTTGTATTATGTACATATGCCGTGATGTAATCTTTTTGACACTTCATTTTAAATTTTATCTCAAGCATGGACATATTCTGTACTGTATAATTTATGTGCTTTTATATTTTTGTAAATGGATGTACATTTTGGGGTCTTATACTGTATATTCATCATGCTACTGTGGGGTTTTGTGATGTGGTCTCACACTCAGGATGACCTGGAGAAAGGAAACTCACAATGCATTTTCTGTATATATAAATATATTGAATGTACAGTGCAGTTTGGTGCTGGGAAGTTGCTGCTTGGAAGAGGAGTTTGCTGAGAGGTCTTGCCGGTTCAGGAACTTGGAGTAGAATGAGAGCTGGTCAGCGAGGAGCCTGCTCAGAGGAGGTGTTGCGTGTTGCAGGGCTGTAGCTAGAATGAGAGCTGGTCAGCGAGGAGCTTGCTCAGAGGAAGTGTTGCATGTTGCAGGGTTGTAGCTAGAATGAGAGCTGGACAGCGAGGAGCTTGCTCAGAGGAGGTGTTGCATGTTGCAGGGTTGTAGCTAGAATGAGAGCTGGTCAGCGAGGAGCTTGCTCAGAGGAAGTGTTGCATGTTGCAGGGTTGTAGCTAGAATGAGAGCTGGTCAGCGAGGAGCCTGCTCAGAGGAGGTGTTGCGTGTTGCAGGGCTGTAGCTAGAATGAGAGCTGGTCAGCGAGGAGCTTGCTCAGAGGAAGTGTTGCATGTTGCAGGATATAGCTAGAATGAGAGCTGGACAGCGAGGAGCTTGCTCAGAGGAGGTGTTGCAGGGTTGTAGCTAGAATGAGAGCTGGTCAGCGAGGAGCTTGCTCAGAGGAAGTGTTGCATGTTGCAGGGTTGTAGCTAGAATGAGAGCTGGTCAGCGAGGAGCTTGCTCAGAGGAGGTGTTGCATGTTGCAGGGTTGTAGCTAGAATGAGAGCTGGTCAGCGAGGAGCCTGCTCAGAGGAGGTGTTGCGTGTTGCAGGGTTGTAGCTAGAATGAGAGCTGGACAGCGAGCAGCTTGCTCAGAGGAGGTGTTGCATGTTGTAGGGCTGTAGCTAGAATGAGAGCTGGTCAGCGAGGAGCTTGCTCAGAGGAGGTGTTGCATGTTGCAGGGTTGTAGCTAGAATGAGAGCTGGACAGCGAGCAGCTTGCTCAGAGGAGGTGTTGCATGCTCCGGAACGTAGGGTAGAATGTATTTCAATGGCGAGACTGAGAGCTTATATACTCGGCTACCGGAAGTAAACCCGGTGGGTCCCCCGTGAGAAACTCGCCGGTTGCTGAATCCTGGCTAGACTTGTCAGTTTGTAGGGGAGAGTATCCACTACACTACATTATCGTGTTGTTTATGAGCATGAGGCCTTCCTCTAGAGCCCTTGGCGTAAGGCCTCCCTTAAACAGGCCCCGTGTATTTCACATGGCCTCATGCCCCCCAGTTTGGGAAACACTGATCTACATCCAGCCGTCCATCCGACAACGACGTATTACATATTTTTGCTGAATATTCAATCAACAATTACTGTAAATTATATTAACAGTATCAACTCCAAGTAAACTATAACAGCAAACAACTGCCTGACTGATTCCAGAAACTAAAAATTGGAGTTTGTAGTATTATGCGTTATGGTTTGCTATTAAATTGGAAATTAATTATGAATGGGAACAATTATCTAAATCACCTG